GAGACGCCGGTGACGGCGGCCAGCGGGATCGACAGCACAATCTTGCCTGTCTCATTCTTCAGAAAGTCGAGACGAAATTCACGTAGGATAAGATACCGCTGGTTCCAAGTTGCCAGAAACTTGTCCTCCTTGCACCGAACGTAGCCTTCTTTGATTACAGCGACACCTCCTTGACCGGACTGCTCGGTCTTGGTGCGTGTGAGTGTGGGTGTGCTTGTGTTGGGGAACAAAGATAGATTGGCGGGCCCAGGAGTGCTGGGAGAATTGAGACTCATTTGGCTGAATGAGGTGGCTACGGTCGGGTTTGTTGGCAAATTGAGGTTTGGCCGATCAGCGGGAGGGCGGGGGGCAGGCCCCGGGTTCATGAATTGGTCGGGGGAGTACATTCTGCGGCCGAGTCAGCATTGCCCTCAAAGGACAGTATGCGCTGATGGTGTTGGGATGAGACGGGGCTGGGAGCCAGAATGGTAGCAGCTGGTGAGGAAACGAAGACTTGCTTACTTTCCAGAGGAAAGCCTCCGATTTTGGCGGAGGGAGGAGGGGGGAGGAGAGGGGAGGGGGGGCGAAGGCGTCAGGGGTGTATGGTGTGGGCTTCACGCAAATGGCGCAGGGGGTAAGAAGTAGTCCGACCAAGCCAAATGGGGGCTGCGATGCGATTCCCTGCAGGGTTTGTCAGGAAGCTCGCATAACACCAACGGATTCCACAATCGCAAATGCAGGGGCAATGAGAGGTGGCGGAGGAGACGAGGAAAGAAGGTGAAAACGCATGCGCATAGCATCAATAACTACCCGCGGGTACTGCTAGCACATCGTGGGGTAGGTATGTCGGAGAAGTAGTTGAAAGATGTGAAAAAGGGGGGCAAGGAGATTAGTGAAGACGAAGACCGATACATACGGGGAAGCAAAGGAGCAATGGAAGGAGATGGCCAACACTCTTTAAAGGAGGGAAATTATGCCGGATTACCTGTTCTCTTAAAGAAGTCCTTGAGAAAACCTCACCGAGCGTGAAGGGCACGTCTCGAGGTCGCTGCCCCGAAGTCCAGGCGGGGTGAGCACCGGCGATGGACAAGATGCAGGCAAGACACGGCTGTATGGCAATGGATGGAGGAATGGAAAGGGAAAAGCGAAGGAAGAGAGAAGAAAAGAAAGACACGTCAAAAGACACAGGCTAAGGTTAAGAAGTGACCAGGTATAAAGAAGAGAAGAAGAAGAAGAGGAGGAGAAGGAGTGGGAGGAGGAGTGGGAGGAGGAGGGGAAGGGAAAGGGAAGGAGGGAAGAGAAGAACGAAGAACAAGGAGAGAGGGTGCGACAGAGGGGAGGAAAGGGGAGACAAGCGGAGAGAGAGCAACAAGTACGTACAGTACTTACTGTCTGTACAGTAGGTAGAGTGTACTGTACGTAGAATAATAATGAATTGAGTTCACCAAGGGAGAAGAGGAGAAAGAATTGATTAGTCGTCGTTTCACTATTGACTTCTTACTTGTTACTACTTATTATTGTGGAGAGAGAGAGCTTCTTCCTGTTCTTCTTCCTCCTCCTCCTCCTCCTCCTCCTCTCAACCACTGTTTCAGTCTATCATTAGACAGCAAGTATCGTTATATTGACCTATTAACCTACTCTAGTATGATCTAGACTCCTCAGGCTCTCACTCTTTGCTTCTGTTTTTGGCTAGCTTTGCTCTGTCGATGCAGTCTCCCTGCTTGTCAGCAATTGTACCTCTATTGTGTGTACATGTACATATATACTGTACAAGTGAAGATAGGTTCTTATCCAGAGGCAAGGCTTGCTTGCATGCAGGACAATGTTGACTCAATAACCTTGATTGTTGGTGGTTTCACCTCAAACCTAATTCGAACTGATGTGCTCATATATAGACTTAACTTATGTGCCCAGTACCAGAATAACAACAAATAAAACACCGAACCCGCCTCGGGAGCTAGGGATCTAGATATTATTCCACACGCGACACAAGTGGAAAAGTGGATGGAGTCTTCGCATTTGGATGTTAGTGTGTGTATGGGCATATATGTATATAGACATGGAAAGTAGGAATAGGTGACTGCAAACGACTTATAATATTTAAGAGAGATCGCATCAATAACCAGACCCTGATCGGACCCTGATCAGACCCTGCCTGATCTTTTACTCGGATACAGTACATAGTATCTGGCTAGAGAGAAAGGATCTGCATAAGATCAGGTCCGGAACAAGAAAAAAGATGATCAATTCGATAACAATTTATTGTCCAGTCCAGTCAGTCATCACTTATCTAGAGGTTGTATGTACAGTACATAATAAACAAGAATAGGGATGAAGGGACAATCAACCTGTTCCTTTCTTAGTCTCCTGCGTCGGCCCACAGAAACCTCGCCCTGCTTCCCACGGCTTCCCCCCTCGGTCAAACCCAAGGAAATGCTCATTTATATGAATTTGTACCTACAATTAACCAGTTACGGTTCTCGGCCCACGCTCTTTGACTACATGTGATAAGACTTCGCGTCGGCAATGCAATTCCCGGAATATATGGTTGTATTATGTCCATATATCTCTTCAGATTGTGTTCATCGAATCAGAATGATCGAGCAAAGTCATTAGCGATCCTCACCGAATGGATGATTGAACTTCAGCAATCCGTTGAGACCACCCACCCAGCCATCATGCGCCTCCCCACCGGTGATCCTCCGCATTACACATGGCACTCCGCCCTGCCATTCATTCTTGCCGTGCCGCATCTCCTCATTCCACACCCGCGCTTCCATCCCCGCCGTCATCCCTTGACCCATGTTCACCCCATCAATGCTCACCTCTAACTCGCGGCCGCGGTTCTTCTCGCTCAGACGGAGCGTGATCGGTGTACTCGACGGCAGCACCAATGGCCGGAAGCTCAAGCTTCGGGCGCAGATCGGGGTTAAGAGTACAGCAGGGACAAGTGGGTGCACGATACTACCACCACTACTCAAGCTGTACGCTGTGCTTCCGGTTGGCGTCGAGATGATGATCCCGTCGGCTACAGCTTCCGTCAAGAAGCGTCCACCAACGTAGATATCTACCACTGCCAGATGCGGCTCCTTACCACGATGCAGCAGGACTTCGTTCATGACATACAGTCCCCGACGATCCCAGATGCCTGGCACAGAATTCGCTGATGCTTCTTGTCGAACTGGCTGTCCATCCGCTGTGAAAAGCCCCACTTTCAGTCGGTTGCGCATCAGAATCCGAGCTCCGCGCGTCAGACCCATCGACTTGCCCCGTACCGATGACCAGCCCGTTGGGCCCACGTCTAGGTCTAGTGGCTCATCATGCGTCGTCGGCCGTACGTCGCCTAGCACGGTTGCACGATCTCCTGCCCCCGCCCCAGACATGTAAACCTCCCGAAACGCGCGCTTATACTCGGGAAACTTCCATTCACTGAGAAACCCAAGCGTACCCATGCTGAAGGATAACATCGGGGGTACATTGTAGCACGTCGCAAAAAGCGATGAAGCATGTAAGATAGTTCCATCTCCTCCCAGGGTAACGGTGAGATCTACTTTACTGTGTAGTGCCGGCCGAAGGCGATCCAGAGACGTCGTGTAAGCCGGGCCGTGCAGCGATGCATGAACCTCTTCGGCAACTCTGGGTTCAAGGATGATCGATATTGAAGGATACGTAGATGTCGCATGACTAGAATGCTCGCGGAGGTTAGTATGTATCAGTTTCCCTCTCAATTGCACGACAAAAGGCCGAAGGACGGATATCGTACTTGGCAAATTCAACAAGGGATTCTGTTACTGCCGGGACACAATCTTTTTTCACAACAAGGATGTTGCGTGGCGGCGTCGGCCACTGCAGGGATAGGAGATCGCCTACTTGCGATTCTAATTGAGTATCCCGAGTCAGTGATCATGCACGCACACCGTACTATATTGACGCACACCTTGATATCCTGGTAATACTCGCTGTGGTAGTATGTCAAGCTCTTTGATCTCGTGTCGCTGCGAAGATAAGCAGAAGCTTCGCATCCATGAGAGCTGGCCAGGGAATCTAATCCGGAGGGACGGGACTCGGAAAATTGTGGAATGCATATTAGAGGGAAGTATGCCTTGAAAATACCAAGAGCATCCTGGGAAGCGGTGCTTCAATTAGCATCATAGTGAGATGGAAGAGAAAGGCATAATCACTCTAGATAAATAGATTCATTGCTCCGAGGCAGCATCTGCAGAAACCATGTACTATACAATTGCCAAAGGACCAGGATTTCATAGATGATACATTCTCCGTTGTAGGTCGGCTATTCCCTGGAATATACGGATTGGAAGAGATACCAAACACACGAATGGCTGCAGGAGACAATGAGAAAAGGAGTCATAGATTCAGGTAGGGAGGGGGGGAAGGAAAAAAGAAAGTATTGAGTTGCAGTGTCCCCAGACTCGGCGTTCGGTAGACCGCCCGCGGTCGGAGAGTCTGACGTATTGACAATATGTCAATAGTTCAAATACGGATACGGTAGAGTGACTTAACTACGCGCAAGTTACACAGTGAATACAGTTCGGGTTATGTCATCCCTCAGCTTTTCCCTTCCGGTGATTCACGGAACTGCTGAGGCTCCCGTATAAATACCTTGGATTGGCGGTTTCCCATAACATTTCAACCCCAGAAACGAGGAACCACCGCCTTTCTTTTGCTGGTCTGAGCATGGTTTGACCCAGGATATTCTGGTCTGTACTTTATACTTTCTGGTTGGATTCTTCCATGCCATCATTGAGAGACTTTTAAACCTGGAGGCATCCTGGGTTTCGTCCTTGGACTTATTTCTAGCCCTGAGCGGGCCTGTTTCTCTTAGTGAGTTTGGGTCGACACCGCTTTTCTTCACTCACCATAGCTATTTGTTGTACAGCTCAGCCCGCGTGACCATGTGGAGGGAATGCTGACCTGGAACTATAAATCTCAGGTCGTCCCGACCATAAAACTCCTACTGTCCAGGCAAGATCCCTGGTTGTCCATCCTCAGCTTATGCCATCATGGAACACGATCTTCGTCAGCGGAAGCATGTGAATGCGACAGCTTCTTCTGTGAACAATAAGTCTCATGCTTATGCTGATGCTGAGCCACGTCTAAAGCATGGCCTTGCCATGCAAATCTTTCGCTCCCTCTTGCTCGCAACATGGTTCAACTGCTGTTGCGTCGCCATCTTAGCAACACAAGTCATTGGCTCCCCACTCTATCTGATCAGCAAGGATTACTACTATGCGTACATGGCGTACACCAAGCAATCGTTTGGACTAGTGATCACGGCTCTTACACAGTGGGGTTGTCCAACCGTCGTGCGCGTTAGCGGAGACAAGAGTGTGCGGAACCAGATTCACCTGGCGGAGGATGGACGGTTGCGAACAGATTTCCCAGAGCGACTTGTGATGATCGCTAATCACCAGGTTTATACGGACTGGATTTATTTGTGGTGGGTCGCATATACGAACCAGATGCACGGCCGCATCTTTATTATTTTGAAAGAATCCCTCAAATACATCCCCATCATCGGCCAGGGTATGACTTTCTATGGCTTCATCTTTATGGCTCGGAAGTGGCTCTCGGACAAGCCACGGCTTCAACATCGCCTGGAGAAGTTGAAGACGCAGCACTCGGGATCTCAGTCGAGTTCGCCACAGTATGATCCCATGTGGCTGCTGATCTTTCCCGAGGGAACGAATCTGTCGATAAATACCAAACGACGGAGCGCAGAATACGCGGCGAAACAAGGGCTTCCAACTCTGAAACATCAAATTATTCCCCGGTCGACTGGCCTCTTCTTCTGCCTGCAGCAACTGCGGGGCACCGTTGAATGGGTTTATGACTGCACTGTAGCCTACGAAGGACCTCCGTAAGTGACCTGGCTATTCCATACTTCCTTCACAAGCTCTAATCAACTCTGTTCATTCGTGCAGAAAAGGTAGCTTACCCGACAAGTACTTCACGCTTCGGTCAACGTATTTGCAAGGTCGACCACCGACATCTGTTAATATGCATTGGAGACGCTTTGCGGTAGCGGACATTCCACTTGACGATCAAAGCGAGTTTGATGCCTGGATCCGAGCTCGCTGGGCCGAGAAGGACCAGCTTTTGGATGAATGCTTTGAAACCGGCCGATTCCCTACCGAATTGGGAGGCTCTATTGTTGTTGGCACTGATACCCCAGAGCAGACATCTGCGGCAGCCACCGGATATGCTGAGACCCAGGTTCGACTGGGGCACTGGACTGAATTAGGCAGAATATTCATGGTATTGGTGGGCACTGCCTTACTGTGCAGGTTACCTAGGCTATTCGGTCTGTTTTGAGGCTGTCAAATGGAGCATTGCAGTGAGAGGAGTAATCAACTCGGTCGGAAATTTTGAACATTATCATGATATGAAGCGATGCACTCAGAGCCATGACTTCTTTCCTACTCTTATACTTCCTTGACGACATGATGAGCATTATAAGTGTACTAGACCCGGCATCATGTAGTGCTAGTTATCAGTCCATGCTTAACAGACGTTGATGCATTAATATGTTAATATGACCAAACTGAGAGTAAAATTAGAGACCAACTAGTGACTGGTGTGACATCTCATGAGTCGAGACGCCAGGCCGACCTTAGCCACATCCCCGGCCGTGTGGCGGTGCTACCTTTCCAGCCTCAGTTCCCGTCTGTCTCCAACTCTATTCCATCCAACCCTGACCAGGTATTAACCCTCGACTTGACCAAACCTCCGATACGCGAGCGACCAACTGCTCACGTGTCCAGCGTCTCCATTGCTATTGTGACTCGAAATCGCTCCTCGAAAGTGCTCTTCTTGCTTGTTTGATCAGCCAGAAGAACCTCCTCCGCGCTGCCCGTTCAAGCTACCGAGTCGACTCCGAACATGACATGAGCTGAGCTGCGTCTCTTTTAAGTCAAGCACCTTTCGCCTTCTTTGATCTTTCTCCACCACAGCCTGCCTACCCGGCATTGCTTATCCCAAAGCTATGGCGTCTTCCCATAATGGCCACGCCAATAGTACCAACGGCGACTCCCTACCGGCTACGAAATCGCAAGCCAATCTTCGCTTTTCCGACATTCCTTCTGCGATCGATATTCCCGCGTCGACACTTGACAGTGAAGTTGAGGTCAGCCTTGAAGTTCTTCCCGACGATCCTACCGAGCTGTGCACCCTTTTGGAGAATGAGAAAGCCGCCAAAAACTTTTGGGTGACTATCGCGCTCGCGTATGCCAAACAAAACCAACTTGATCATGCGATCGACATCCTCAACAAAGGGTTGGCCTCCGTCGGTCACGGGGCGATCAAGGAGAAACTTGGGCTTTTGAGTTGGGTCTGCTGGCTGTTGATGCTCAAGTGTCGGCAAGCGCCTCGTGTCTTGAACGACTCCGAGATATACACAGATTCTAAGACCAAGGACTACTACCTACAACAAGCGACATCTACACTGAATGAGGCCTCGCGACTTAATCCAGCTTTCCCCCCACTGTTTCTGGCGCGCGGTGTTCTGTCCCTCTTGCGCGCGTCGATGCAGCCTCTGCGACCCACGCGCACTGGCGGTATCGATACCTCTGAGCGGGCCGAGTCGTTACGCCAGGCACTTAAGTGCTTTGATGAGTCGTCCAAAGCTTTTGGTGGTCGCAATGCAATGGCGATTCTTGGCCATGCACGTGCGCAGTATATGTTGGGTCGCTATGCAGAAGCATTGGAAGGGTATCAGAAAGTATTGATGAAGATGCCTGGGCTACGGGATCCTGATCCCCGCATTGGTATCGGCTGTTGTCTGTGGCAATTGGGATTCAAGGAGCAGGCGAAAGCTGCCTGGGAGCGGGCGCTTGCATTGGTGAGTGGACTCCATCACATGGTGGGCGAGAAGAATATCAGGCCTAACTCTTATACATCATTATAGAACCCCGATTCAAAAGTGGCCAACATTCTCCTTGCAGTCTACTATTTATACGACAGCTCTCGGCACTCCACCACAGACCCTGCCTTTGGTTCCTTGTACAAAGTCGCCATGACACAGTACACGCAGAAAGCATTCAAATTGGACAAAGAGTATCCGATGACATGCGCTCTGTTTGGCAGCTACTTCCTTCTACGCAAATCATATAGCACCGTTGAGAGTCTTGCCCGCAAAGCCATTCAACAGACGGACGTGATGCCGATTGCCAGTGATGGTTGGTATTTGCTCGGTCGGAAAGCACACTATGAAGGCGACCTCGGTCACGCAGCGGAGTATTACAATCGAGCGGATCAGGCCCGCGGTGGCGAGAACGGCTATCTTCCTGCCAAACTAGGTAGTATACAAATGCAGGTTTCCAGCAGCAAAGATCTCGACGGAGCCAAGTTCCGGCTGGAGAAGATCATTCAACAGACCAAGAACCCTGAGAGTATGATTTTGCTCGGTGCCCTCTACGCGGAGGAAGTGTTCGCAGCCAATAGCAAAGACGACAAGTCTGCCGAAGTGAAGAAAGCTATCGGGCTTCTGGAGTCTGTCCGTGCGCTCTGGAAGGACGAGAACAAGAAGATCCTGCCCGATGAGTCAGTCTTGGTGTATCTGTCCCGCCTGTATGAACAGACCGCCCCCGAAAAGAGCATGCAATGCCTCACCCAGCTGGAGGAAATGCAACTCGCGGAGATCCCTGAAGAGGAACACCCCGAAGGAGTAGAGGACGCGGAGCAGATCAAGGTTGCGCTTCGCAAACAGCTACCTCCGCAATTACTCAACAACATGGGCTGCTTTTTGTATCAAGCTGAGAAGATCGAGTTGGCTCGGACTATGTTTCAATCAGCGCTGGACGCCTGCGTCAAGTCCCAGGAGAAGGAGAGTGAGCTCGACATCGACGCCCTGGTGACCACCATCAGCTACAATCTGGGTCGCACTTACGAGGCGGCCGACATGCCAGACGATGCCAAGAAGGTATATGGAGGCTTACTGGAGCGTCACGCCGACTACACAGAAGCCAACGCGCGATTGACATACATCGCTCTGCGCCAGAGCCCAACGGAAGAGGGACCCAAGAAGATGGCCAGACTGTACGAGGCCGACGCGACGAACCTCGAGGTACGGGCCCTGTTCGGCTGGTATCTGAGCAAGTCAAAGAAACGCGCGGCCAATCTGGCGGAAGACCACGAGCAGCGCCACTACAAACACACCTTGCAATATTACGATAAGCATGACCGGTACTCGCTCACGGGAATGGGCAACATTCATCTGTCGGCAGCGCGTGACATGCGACGGGATACGGACCAAGACAAGGAAAAGCGGCGGAAGATGTACGAGCGTGCGGTGGAGTTCTTCGATAAGGCCCTGCAGCTGGATCCGCGGAACGCCTACGCAGCGCAGGGTATCGCGATTGCGCTTGTAGACGACAAGAAGGACCACGCGTCGGCGGTTCACATCTTCTCCAAGGTCCGGGATACCCTGCGCGATGCTAGTGTTTACCTAAACCTCGGCCACGTTTACGCAGAGCTCCGCCAGTTCACGCGATCGATCGAGCATTACGAGGCTGCGCTGTCCCGCGACCGGGCTCGTGACGCGCAGATCCTGGCCTGCTTGGGCCGTGTCTGGTTACTGAAGGGCAAACAGGAGATGAACTTACAGGCCATGAAGACAGCGCTTGACTACGCCCAACGCGCGCATGCCGTTGCGCCAGGCCAGGTTCACCTTGAATTCAACATCGCCTTCGTACAGAACCAGATCGCCTCCTTGACGTACGGTCTTCCGGAGACGCAGAAGACGGTGCAGGACGTGCAGGATGCAGCGGATGGGCTTCACAAGGCCGTGGAAACATTTGGGCGGATTGCGCAAGCCAAGAACCCCCCCTATCCGGCGAGTGCCTTGGAGCAACGCGCCAACATGGGTCGCACGATCATCAAGCAGCTTGAGCGTGCCCTTCAGAGCCAGAAGGATTACGAGGAGAAGAATGCGGCCAAGCTCCAGCAGGCGCGCGAGGCGCGCGAAGCGGAGATCCGGCGCCGAGAGGAGGAGGTGCGCAAGGCGCAGGAGGCCGAGCGAGAGCGCAAACAGCGAGTTGCCGAGGAGCGCCAGCGCATGGTTGAGGAGGCTCAACGATTGGCAGAGCAGCGCGCCGAGGAAGAACGTGCTCGCGAAGAAGCGGAGCTGACTACCGAGTCGGAAACGGGCGCCAAGGTGAAGCGCAAGAAGCGGACAACGTCGAAGCGTAAGAAGAAGGGCACCGAGGACGACTTCATCAACGATGGTGGCGATTCACCCCGTCAGGCGAGAAGCAGCGGCAGTGAGAGCGAGGGTGAGACGGCACCGAAGAAGCGTCGGCGCCTCGAGCGTCGGGCTGGAGGCAAGCTACAGAGCAAATTCAAGAGTAGCGAGATGGTCGTAGACTCGGATGACGATGACGACGAGGCAGTGGCTCCGGCGGACGAGGATCAAGCGATGCGCGACACGGGGGCGGATGATGAAGAGGAAGAGGAAGAAGTGGTACAGCGGCGCCGAGCCAAGGTCACGCGGCGCGTGGCTGATGATGACGACGACGATGAGGAGGATGAGGATGCGAATGCAGAGGTTGGCGCTTCCGTGGCTGGAAGGGGCGCAGGATCTGGGGCTGAGCCTGAAGAAGAAGGTACAGGTACTGGGGCCGAGGACGGAGGAGCTGCTGTTGGGGGCGATGAAGGTCATGGAGATGACGGGGATGACGGGTTGTTCAGTGAAAACGACGCAGAGGATACCATGATGCAGGATGATGAGTGAGGTCTGTGATCGTGTTGGATTGAGTTGGGAATAAGGTGAGGGGGCGAGGAAATACAAGAAACAAATCAATTGTAGTATTAGGGCATTTGCATTTTGTAACATCAACTCTTCTACCCTATCTACTGGTAGGGTCTTTTCTCGTTTGTATTAACTTGTTGTCGCGACTATATTAAGCGAAGTTGTCGTCTCCAAAGGCCTACTGTACACCAGTTCATTTGTTGTACTGGGTGATATACACAAGCAGAGAGATATTTCTATGCATTCATTTCAGGGGATGGAGGGTTGGCCTGAAAGAATCCAATTAAAAAGTTAGTTCTATCATAACTGGTCTACAGAGCACCTGAGGAGTATCTGAGTTAGTGCTTATACAAATTATTGGTGAGTGGTTGGTATATGGACCCTGAAGCCGATCGATCCCCCTTTCTTTTGGATTTCAAGTCAGTGGCTGGTGCAGCCCGGAACCCGAACGAGAGTAGGGCCGGGCAGGGCCGGGCAACGATGAAGCTATTCTTACATCAATTCACCGTGGCTGTCTATTATTCTTGAATAAAACTACGTAGTAACGAACGAATAAGTTAAGTTAACTACCCCGAGTAATGTTGTTCCCTCTCGTGCAAGGTGGAGGAGGAGACGGCTAAAAATGGCAAGCCCTGGTGCCGGTCCGGTCTAGCCCCAGAGATCGTCAGGAGGTCGAACCATGGAGCCAACAAAACTGGGAGTCAAAACATGAGATGGTGCAACACGCTAGGGAGATGGATCGAGTTCATAAAAGGTAGAAAAACTAAGAAGATCAGGAAAAGGGGGGGGGGCTGAAGTTTGAAAGATCTGAGACAGTGGTGTGGCAGATTTGGCCCGACTGATAGATAGATAGATGGATGCTGATGCTGATGGTGATAATGACAGTTGAGGTTGGGCGATGAGATGAGAGTCAAAACACAATACATACAGGAATAACACTTAGTGTATTGTGTATTGTATATGAAATACATTTTCTCTGCTTCTGTAATTAATCTCCATTCATACTCTACTATAAGAAGAGAGCTAACTTATCGATGTTAGCACTGTTTGATTGCTCAAATTGTCAATTGATAATCAACAATGTGAATTTGATATACAATCGAACGTACACGCCCCGTAGATTTGGTATGCTATGCAATCAGTCCCGATTTCTGTAGGAGCTGCCGAGTCATATACCGAGTACTGTATGAGTATACTTATGGGGGGAAGAACAGAAAAGAAAATAAGAATCGGAACTGGAACGTGCCTGAGCTGCACGAGCTTCTGCAGGTATTGTACCCCAAGCGGTGTGCGTCCTTCCTGTTCCTGACATGATGCAGTCTTCTTTGGTGTCACCCAAAAGGAGAGTTTCGCGTGCTTTTTTCTCCTTTCTTTCTTTTTTTTTCCCTCTTGGTTTACCTTGTACCTTTTACATCTCCATCAATTGAAGTCCTGTTGGCTGGTAGTTCCAGTTAAATGCCGAAGCCACCTTAAGACAGAACAGTGAGACACTCGAGGCTTTGATTCGGGTCCGAGGCCGGAAGCGCAGAAAGAAGGTGGAAGAGGCGGAGGGAGGCAATAAGGTAAGGAAGTGACAATAATACTAACTAAGTTACCATCTTTTAGTAATAAGGAACAAGAACAACATTCATTGCAGTGATTGCACACAATCCAGATCCCCGATTCTCGGTTTCAACTACTGTACTTCCGTCCCTATTATTCATACAATCACATTTTGAGTGAACCCCGGCTTCCTGGTCATTGCATGAATCTACGATGGGTCCGACCAGGATGATCGCGTGTCGATTCGATAATAATAATATGATGAGTCTGATCCATCATCCCACCACGTTAAGTGGATATCTTTACGCCCCCGCCCACCTTTTTAGCCTAGGAAAAACTACGGTACCTGGTCTCTCCTTCCGTAGGTACAGCAGCAGCAGCAGCAGCAACCCGCGGAATGTGATGGAAACTGTCAGCCCGATGGAGATTACCGACGTCCCGTCGTGGTATTGATGGCGCCCCGTCAGGCTTCCATCCAGGTTCCCAGAACCATGGGTCAAAGAGCTACTCTTCCCGCGTTTGTGAAATGATACTTGTTGACATTTCGTTCCCTTGGGAAGGACATCCGATGGAATCCGCTAGGTATGCCTGCTGCTACTGCTGCTGCTGCTGCTGCTACAATTCGATCCCACTCAACTCGATTCGACATCCTAGGCCCACAGCTAGGCATTAGCAAAGTTCAGCCAGGCCGAGAAGCTCCCGTCAGGCGTCCAGTCAAGCACCTAGAATCTAGGGCTAGCATGACTTTCTCTGGTGAGTGGTGGAGAGGACGTTGGAACGGGTCCGACAGCCAGTATAAGCGAATGAAGATCCGGTGGTGCCTGAACTGACGTCTCGTATTGTCGGAACTGGGGCTGAATGGAGTCCTTGATCTTTCTCTCACTCAGTATCTACTTATGCGTAGACAGACATGACTGTCGAGTTGGTGGATGGACTATCCATCCAGCCACTACTAAGTTATTGCATGATATGTACATTCTGTACGATGCAAATTACCTAACATTCCCGGAAGTTGGAAGTGTGTACAGTACCTACAAATCTCATACATAGATGCTGAAAATGCGCACACATGGTGGATACATGCATGCGAGTCCCTCACTGTGCCTTCAAGCAAACGATCAATGGAAGGTAACATTGAGCTAATGTCTCGTTCAACTTGATGTCTGCGAAACTCTATGGTGGCAGGATCCTGGGACTTTCACTGTACTGGCCGTCCGTACAGTACGTACCTGGGTGCTCCTTGGGGGTTCGGACGTTCGGACAGTTTCCAGCTCAGCTCGTGTATCCATCTCTTGTTGCAGTGCAGGGCAACCCCCCCCCCCCCGCCCCCTCCCCCCAAATATTTCACTGCAAAATCCACCGCCGATACTTACCCAAGGATGAGTTCTCCCCGCGTGATCATCGCCTGCAATCCAGGGCTGGAGGGATCGTTATTCTATCTCTGCCCGTAGCATAGAGGAGGAAGAGGAAGGGCCCGAAAACCTAAATCTCGAGGTCCGGATTAGTGTATATACGGACTTACGTAGGAAGTGGGAGTTTGGGAAGGCTATGCAATATTGACATGGGCCATTACTTATACATGGTTATATAAATTGTAATTGACCTACGAGTAGAAATAGACCGCACGTAGTCTCGAGACTACACTCAGGATAATGCCGAATGCCGATCGAGCCAGCAGAAGGCGGGTTCCGTGGGTCAGAGTGGGCAACAGTTGAGGGATTATCAGAAGGCAGCGAGCGTACTGTACAATACTTACATACGCACCGGATATTGTCCATGATCTTTGACCGATTTGTTAAAAGCTATCACTCATACTTTACTTAGTAGTATTTCCATGGAGGGAGATGGATGACCTGGACCTTCCACCCCCCCCCAAGAACCTGGTTCTTCTCAACTGTTAAACAGTGCGTACCAATCGTGTACCATGTAGCTAGGTATATACAAGATAGTATACTGCTGAAAGCTCCGCGTCGATTATAAAGTTCCAGTAGCCCACAACTGGGATCGGAAAGGTGGGTATTATTGTTACTTGGAAGGAGGTGTTGCGGTAGTCTTGGTAGAAGAACATTTATGAATGGATTCTACAACAGACTTAGTATCTACTAGGTATCTACTCCAAATCAAATCAACTACGTACTTGACACCTTACTCTATGCTTGTAGTAGCCGACGATGGCGCAAATTATAAATAACTCAGGCCATACGAAGTAGTAGTTAATTCTTAGGACGGCGGACAAGTCGACCCAATAGGGGAGGCTAGAGCAGGCCGGCCCCCTGTTTATTAACGGCATCGTGAGAATACTATTTACTGTACTGTACTGTACTGCACTGTATTGATGTGTTAGGTTCCTAAGAAGTAACAATACCTGACTACAACCTTAGACCCACGATACCTGCAATTTTCCCACTTCCCCAGCATCGAAGTATAAGTTAGTTAGTGTTAGTCTAGTTGGCTAGTCATGGTTGTGAAAGTCGAGTAGTACTGTACAGTGTAGAGAGTACGTAGTGGTAGTAATGAATTCATTTTTCTCCCTTTTAAAATCATTGTTTATCTTCGTCTTTCTCCTCCTCCACCACCTCCACCTCCACCACCTCTTCTTTTTCTGCCCCTTCAACCCTCTCTCTCCATATAACGTTAGCCTCAGTTCTTCTTCTCCTTCCTCTCTCCTTCTATCAACGTTGAATCATTCTTTTATCCAATCCGGCCCCAGTCATCCTTCGTTATAATTTGCAGTTCTTCTCGTACTGTACATATCTACACGAAAAGTGGTGTCTTGAAATCGGTCTTACCCACTCGAACTTCTTCCATACATAGTGCCATACTTCTTTCCTTTTCACAGTTACAAACACATATCTATCTCCTACGCCCGGTTCTTCTGTCATTTGACCTACCTTGGGCTGGGTGCTTCAACGGTCCTGCTGCTTCCCAGCCTCCCAATTGTGCTCTTCCTGTTCTGAAATTTTGGACGTGTTTCTCGCATCCGTTTCAACCCTCGATCTAAAACAACTCCAGAAACTTTCCGCCGCACGATACGGGGTTTTTCCTCATCTCTCCTCCTTCATATCCCCCCCCCCCCCCTCTCTCTCTCTCCCCGTGTCGCTCATCCGCTCCTTCTATAAACCCTAGCCTCCTCCCCCAATCGTTCTTCCTCCTCTGCGACTCCGCTTCAATCCATCACATTGTCCCCTGTGCACGTGAGCTCTTGTGTGCTCTTATCATGGTCCAAAACCAAGTCAATTCTTCGCAATTGGTGGCTTAACACTTGCTCGGCACCGCAGCACATTCACATGCTTGGCCCGCACCTTGTCCTCTCTCAAAAAACCATCTAGATATCCTTCCTCCACAGTCAAGTCAATACCTCCTTCCCGCGACTCGTCCCTCTGTTCCGGCCCGCACCATGTCTCAGCAGGATCTGGACCGTGCCTGTGGCCGACCGCCCAGCAATGGCTCCCCTGAACAGTACCCGGTTCACATCCGTTCTAGATCTACCGCACATGCGCAAAGTCCAAAGCGGTTGTCTGTCCTGGGCGGCCGCTCTCGCAGCAATACCACAAATTCCGCCTCCTCTCGTCGTTCACCGGGTTCCTCAATGACCTCGGTCGAGGCTTCCTCGTTGCCCTCCTATGAGGACCGGGGGGACCGGGCCGGTTCGTCGGCTGGCTTTCGCTATGACCGTTCAGAGAGCGTAACGAAATCGCTTTTATCGCGCGGAAGTCGCATTCTGCGTCGCCGGGGAAGTAAGTTTCACATAGTTTCAACGCTGGACGAGGAAGATGAGGTGGACCGCGAAAAGCCCCGGTTTGAAGTTTCCGACCTCTTCAGCCGGCATCATAAGCCACGACAGAGTGACGCACGTAAGTCCCTTCCAAAGCCTACCTTTCATCCTCGTTCACGGCCGTTGTTTCACGCGGGGAGCCTTATCTAAAGTTCGCATGGCATGCTCATGCTGATGACCTGCGCAGATGATCAGCTGAAGAGCTTGATCTCAGACCCGTTCGACTTTCACCACCTGACCCACACAAGTCCATCTCAGTTCCAGTCCCTCGAAAAGGCTCGCGAGACTGACTTGGTCACGGAATTTTCTGTTATACGTGCCTCACAAAGACCTGTCACCAATCTCAAGGGCATCCAAGCTCAAGATCTGCATTTCCAGGATTTTTCCACGGAAAATCTCAATCAATTCGGGGCAGCTATTGCCGACAACGATGTCGCTACTGACACATTACCAGTAAGCCAGCCGGCGTCGCCGGGTGGCTCCTCGTCTATCAGTCCTAAGCAGCGCGACATTCAGAGACGACCAGAGTCGCGCGTCTTCGAAAACTTCTCACGACCTGTTCCCAGTTTTTCCAAAGGGCTAGGGGAAGCAACTTCTCCGCCGAGGGCTGCTTCACCTAGGCTTGCGTCTTCTCCTGAGTTGCCTGAGCCAGCCCCTCGAGCTATTGATGAGATTTTGGGCTTGTCCAGCCAGCCAACATACCCTGAGCACGTATATTCACAGGATGGTGACGATCTCAGTGATGATGTATATGGAAATGCTTCATGGTCCCAGCTACACGTGCAGAATATGTTTCCAATTCCCGCCGCCCATGCGATTACCACGGATGCTGGCCACGAGGGTCTTGATGTGAGGACCTCGTCCATGTCTCTGACCACCCTGTCCTCTGATTTGGAAGGGGTTCCAGAAGAAGAGGAAGGTGATGATGAAGCAGTTGCGAGCTTGAAGCATAGGGTCGAGCCTGACTTTCCCATTGCCGAGAATTCCTCTCAGGCAACCACGGGGCTCAGCTCGCTCCCATTGGCCGAGTCTCAATCAGCTTCCGCAATTGGTCCTGAGCTGTCTGTATACGTGACTCAGGATTTAGCAAGGAAATTGTCTGAGGCACTTGGCTCTCCTACCCTCCCCAAAACCCGACCCACTACAGAAGCACCAGTGACTGAACGGACAAATTCGGAAGTTGCCCGGAGGCGGTCCTCGGTCGCCACGCGAACTGTTCCTGGGAACATCTCTGACTCGTGGGATGCTGATATCGACTATTGCTATGAGCATGCAGCCGAATCGAATTCGAACTTCGACTGGACTCGCAATTCCGTCGATGAGCCACGAGCGGATATGACGGTTGAGGCCGACACTACGGCAGATGGAGACAAAACCACGGTTTCGTTCAATCGTCTGAGCGCCACCGCCGTATCCGCTACGGACCGGGACTCCATTCCCTCATTCTCGGAAGTCAGCTCCCACATGGCTGTTACTCCTTCCACTGCTGAGTATGACGCCGGGATGTCTGTTTCCCAGAGAGACAGTGATTACTTCCGTCCTGTCAGGTTCGGGCCTGCCTTGAGCAAGTCAATGAACCCAGAGTCCTTGTATGAGGACTACTTGACAGCAGATGCGGAGTCGGATCGTCACTTTTCGTTCTATGCGCAGCAAGGTGTAATTCAGCCTATCGAACATTCCATCTCCCCTCGCAGCAGCTTCTCCCCGATCAGCAAGTGCAATTCCCAGGAAAGTCTGATCTTATCCCGCGCGGCATCGATTGTGCGCAAGCATCGATCGTCCGTCTCGACCGCTAGCGTCCCGGACCTAGTGCATAGTCTGGCAAACAGCCGCGAGCTGATTCCAACTGAAGAGATCCCTTCAGGCGAATATACTGCGAATGGGAGACCAGACTCCTCTCACCATAGACAAACCAAGAGCCTTGCACGGGAACTTGAAGCACAGATGCTGTACCGTGCGGAACCGGAGGCAAGCTTCGAGCCTATGGGACCGGGTTCTGCCATCATTCCTTCCATCCACGACCGAGCCAAATCTACGAGCGAGGCCGAGGCGGCACCCTTAGCTGTCGCGGCTGCTTCTAGAGTCGCGCCTCGTCGTAAAGGGAGAGCATCTTATTCCCTCTTTCCTGCAGCTGCGAACTGAGATATTGTTCGGTCAACACTCTGACAAAGCGACACATCTAATCCCCAGCTTCCCGGCCTTTCCAATTTGAAAGATTGTATGTGTGTTGAGTGTCTTCTCGATTTGTTCTGCCATAGAACGTCTTCCACGAATTTATGATTTCAACCCCTGTTTTAGCGGAGACTTGATTTCAGTTCTTTTACTCTCCCGGCTTCTGCGACGACAATCTGTCTTGTACATTTGCATACCAACACTGCACGCCATGCTCTTTGTTTTCATTGTCCATCTGCGCTTCTCTTGCATTTCTCAGCGATTTGTTCTGTCGTAAAGAAAAAGAAATCGGGTGTTTGCCACTTTTATTGGGTATAGGGATCTGGATTTGGTTATGAGTGGTGTTCAATTCGACAACACCCGCTTGGTGCAGGCTGCATTTCAATCTAAAAATGTTCCTTCGGATCCATGGCCGTGACTCGATCAGCTTGCATGTATGCTCAACTTTACTTTTGCTTGTGTTCTCCAACATCGATGGTTGCTCGGGTTCTAGTTGCATTTCATCGAGAAGAGAAGGAGATCGGGGTTCGTTTCTGGAAGGAATATTGATAATCATGGGCGATAGGCCCAGAAAAACAAATGAGTTAGTGTGATTCTGGACTCAAGTATCAGCAAAACTGATTTTGGGTACTGTAAGGGATATATGTAGTCTATCTACCGAGATGCAAGCTGGATTGGAGATGCCATGACGATGATCCTCACCGCTTTCCGGCGGTATAGCATTCTGCCTGATTTTTTCTAAGCATTGCCTTCGCCCACTCGCTCTCCCTTCCCGTGCCTCTTTTCTATACATTCACTCACTTCTTATCTTTCGTGTCAGCATGCATCTCATATCCATACCTCGCACTCCGCAATTTCCCCATAGATAAGAATTCCTGCATACTTATCAGATTCAAATGATGTCTGAGTCCTCGCAAACCCTAGTCAAGCGTCAAAGCAACAGCAGCTTGATGCCTCCTCCGCCTCCACCGAAGCGCATCAAACGACCGGCCACCGTGCTTGATGAAGATGTCTACACCGACGCTCTCTCCGAAATCATCGCACGCGATTATTTTCCTGGTCTACTGGAGGCTCAGGTGAAGCAGGATTATTTAAATGCATTAGACTCGCAGGATCAAGAGTGGATTGCAAGTTCAAAGAAAAAACTATCTGATTTGGTGCAAACTCCTGGAAAAGTCCGAACTCGCCCTGGCTCTGCCATGACACCACAGTTCATTGGAACTGGAAAGCCAGGGGATACTCCGATGACCTGGGGCGGTGATACGCCTTCGTCGATGACGTCTGCTTTCTCATCCGGAAACCATTTACCAGTTTTCGAAACACAGCGCCAAGCCCTAGATGTGAGTCGGCTGGGGTTGCTGGAGTTTCAAGCCAAGTACACTAGCGAGGACAATGAATCCTTCAACAGGTTATTAGACAAGCGAAATTCCAAGCATCGGGAGAAATATGCCTGGCTATGGAACGGGAACAAGATTCCGACCGCGCGACAGATCGCCCATCATCGACAGGAGGCCAAGCGGATTGCGGCCCAGGGAGGTAACCCAGATCAGAACAAACAGGCATTGATCAAGACCGACCTGAACGCTCGACCTGCTCAGCCCGACACATGGAAGATGCGTCCGGAGAATTCACTCATGTTTGCGCCTTCATCCGTCGAAGACATTCATGAGACGGCTCAGCAGAAAGCGGAAGCTGCATCTCGAGCAGCGCCTAAATGTGTGGTATACCAGAACACTCGTCTTCCGAATGAGGCTCTTCATCCAACTTCGGGGACTGTGCCTCCACCTTCGCCATCGATATCGGCTATCAAGGATGCTATCGCCGGACGTCCTCGCCCGACTGATTCAGAGCCAGGGTACAATGGCGGGGAAACACCCCGAGTGAATGGATATGCGTTTGTGGATGAAGATGAGCCCGAGTATGACCGTCCCTCACCCAGGGGCGATGGCTCCATAACGGACGATTTCTACTTGCTCGGAAGCGGTGATGCAGTTCCGAATCCGTTCCAGATAACAGAAAATCGCAGACGGGAAGATCTTCACCACCGTATGGTTGATCGGGTGGCACGGACGAGACGTGCGGAAAAAGTCACCCGCGAGACTAAAACTCCTGTGGCAATGACCCCCAAATTCGCCAGCAGTCCGCAACTCGACTTTGGGCAGCGGGCACTAGGTGCAGCTACTCCTGGGACAAGAGCAGGCAAGATGCTGACACCTGCAGGGCAAAAGCTGCTCAATCAAGTGGGAAGTACTCCCCGCCCAGGTGGTTTGTTTACTGGTTCGTCGTCTAATTTGAGGAATATGTGGACACCAACTCCTAGGAGATTCAAATGATGGTGCTCTTCTTATCTTGCCGTTTCTATTTTCTTATCATTTCTCGTGTCGTCCAATTCCTTTGTTATGAGCGTTTCTCTCTCACTTGACTAGATACCACCACACAAACAACGGCGTTTTGCATCGAAGGTTTGTCAGTTGCCATTATGATCAATGGTAGGATATATTGCTGGCCTTGAGTGCCAGCTTCTCAACTTGGTTCTTTTCTTTCTCGGCAACATAGGGATGTAGGCAACTAGTGCTTGTACGCGTCTTTCTATGCATTCATTCGGCAAAAGCTCTTGATCGCCGCCAACTAGCGTATTTGAGGTTGTATTGGCGACTAGGAACCTGTCCCCATCGCTTGAATCGAATTTGAGATGCCTGAAGTCGAAGGGAACGCAGGAGTCATCTTGAATGAACCAAGCGTCCTAGCCCAAGGATACTCGTATAACGCAAGAAGTAAATGGTTTCCAGGTAATTGACGCACTTAAGTCAGCATCAATAATACACATTCAGCAACATCACATGTCAATCCAAGAAGGGTATCTATGTTCACATATATCCAAGAACACAAGATCTCTCACGATGTCGGGGTCAACGGGTCCCAAAGCCTGATTCACGCATATACTTTCAAACCCCCAAAAGAAGAAAGGGAAAAGTAGAGCGAACCGGTCAGCGTGGGACAGCACCGGTGTCTGGAGTCTATTCAATTGCCCACAGCGCGGTCCATAGTGCGGTCAGGGCAAAAAAAGCGTTCCATACATCGTGACGGAGACCCGCCGCCATACTCATATAGTACGCAGCGCCCAAGTAGCTGCAGGTGATAACGCCATTTGAGTCCCGGACCCCATAGGAAGAATTTAACCACTGCCCCACGGGACAACTGAAGCCTAAAGCGGACGGGCAGTTTCGGACGAGACTGTGGCAGACGTCCTGGCAGGGGAGGATCTCTTTATAGGGACCCGGCTGGATGTCAGTGTCGATCAACGGATTCCGTGATCGATTTGTGGCAGGATTAGTCAATAAACTACTGTTGGTGATGGAGGTGCCGTTTGAAAATGCCTGGCCCGCATTGCGGACTTGAAGAAAGGAGTCGGTGCTCGAAAAGTCTTGGCACCGGGGGATTGTTACAGCGCAAAGCCACTGCTTGTAGGCCTCGGCGCAGCTGTCGCAGGAGACAGCGAGGGAAAACACAGTTTCGCTGGAAGCATTGCACTGAACCTGTTGGAGGGAGTAATTGAAATTTTGGTAGAGAGATGCGGCATTGTCGTCATAGAATGTGCGTAAGATCGGGATTTGAGCGGACGAGTTCGATGGCACGGCATAGGCGACTTCTGAACAGAATGAAAGGTCGTACACCAGCGCGCAATTGTCCTCTGTCCTTCTATCAGCAAAGACTGTGCATAGGAGGCAACAGAGTCCGACTGTAGAGCTCACCTGTCTTCGTAGAAAAATTCATCGGCTTCCAAACCTTCCCACCGCCACCTATTATCCCATTACCTGCACTGGTAGAATTGCCGTATCGGGCGAGGATCCCTAAGTAGGTAGAGCTTTTATTCAGGCCAGTGGCATAGAGTTGCTCCTTGGGCCGGAGCTTGTCACCACGTGTAGTCATACTGGGCTCCACGTCCTTCATACCGATCTGCGCAAGCCGATCGAGGGCACAAAAGGATCGCTCCAGACCCGATACTGCAGTGCTGTTCAAGTTATTGGCAAACATTGTGTACGGGGGTGTCTTGTTCATCCATATGCTGATGTCCTGGGCGTCAATATCTGTGTCTGTGAGGTTTTTCGTCGTGAAGAGTGCGGCTTTTGTATCCGAGTCCACCAGGTATAGAAGCTGATCCTCGGTATTCACATCGTGAAAAAAGGCATCGGTGGATACTGCGATTTGGTACGTGTACGACCCCGAATACTGCGTGTTATTGGGAGCGGTGACCCCGATATACACATTCCCGTCCGCTGCCAGAGTCGTGCCCATATAGCCCTCCTCCGCGAGAAACACCTGTTGTTCTGCACTGTCATTGTCGGGGCCGGGCTTCTCAAGTGATTCGGACAGCGAGACGAAGACCTGCAGTTGTGGCACAGTGGACGAGGAACCGGTCGCATCTTCCGACTCGTTGAGACTCGGTTTCGAGCAGGCTGTCAGGGACAGATATATGGTCGTCGATCGTTCTGCGACATCTTCGCTCCGTTTCGAAGTAGTTTCGTTGGTGCTGCTGCTATCGCCAGCGGTCGAATCTGTAGGGAAATACCAATGCTGAGTCTCACCCAATCTCAGCGTGCCTTCCTGGTACTGGTTGTTTCCTAGGGATGACACCCCCGTTGGGGCTCGACGGATCAAGTCTAATTCTCGTCCCCGAGTCTCTTCAAACTCCAGTCCATTATATGATTCCAGTGGGAACCCGAACCGTGTGTCGACATCGCCGAGGTATATGGTCCCGTGGCTGGTGACGGCCAGCTGCGCCGAGAATTCTTCTTCAGCATCGTCAGCAGAGACGGGACCAGCGCAAAGAGCCATAGCGAAAGCGATCAGGAAAATAACCGCATCGGCAATCGCAAACCTGTGCGACAAAGCCATTATGAATAGATGTGGTCACGTCCCTCCTGAGCACAATTGACGTAATCATTGGTTATCCAAAAGGGAAAAAAAACCAAAAACAAAAGAGATGTGCTGCCTCTCACGGCTGAGGCCAGCCGAGTCGTGAGAGATAGTTACCGAGTAGTAGATGGAACAACAGGTTCAATCTACGGAGTACTTTGTCAAGGAATGAAGAAAGCGTTCCGATGGGTGTACATTACAGGTCCAGTACATTACAGTACAGTACGCCTCTGTCTGGAGCAAAAAAAGTTCATGTGAACTGTGTTCACCTGGAGCATTCAATCCCAGATATCAACGTGCCTTAGTCATACGTTATCCGGCTTCCTTCCCTCTTGAATGCTTCTAGATTTCATATGAGCTTATCTTAGATGAAAAAGTTTATGGAGATGCATTTAGGACGACATAAGATACACATATATCCCTCTATAGTATATATACACTATCTGAAGCCCCCCCCCAAGCTTCTTCAATACACTTTTTTGGAATGCAACAGACAACTGCACAAATAGCACGGAACACAAAGGGATTAGAGCCAAGCCATGATATGCAAAAGTTTCGTGTCAAACAAGCATGATTTCAAAATCAAGACAATCAATGACTAGGTAATGGAAATCGAGTATACCTGCCTTACACAAGCTTGTAGCGACGTGCGGCCACTCCACTAATGATGATAATAGCACCAATGACGCCGATGATCCCGAAGAACCACGCAAGGCTCTCGGTGTGTTGTCCAGGGACCTCCACATTCATACCAAAGAGACCGCAGATGAGGTTCATGGGCACAAGCATGGTGGCAATGAGTGTCACCTTGCTGAGGACTTTGTTGACATGATTACCCAGCATGAGGTTGGTCACATTCAGCTGCGCAAGATAGTTGGTGTGCGACCGGCTAAGCATTTTTTCAAAATGTGCCAGATTAGACATCATGGTTACGACGTGATCCTGGATGTCGCCTAAATATAGGCCAATGTCACCGCGAGGCGTCACTGAGTACTGTTCATTGCAGCGTTTCGAAAAGCCCCGAATAACATCGGCCTTGCCACCCAATAGCCGCATTAAACTCATGACCTTTTTGCGAAGGCCACCAATGCGTGGTAAAAAGGACTCGAAATCATCCATACGGGCAATGAAAACAAGGTCCTCGATAGCTTCCGACTCGACCTCTATTTCACGGATCACGGGACCAAAGCTATCCACAATATCGTCGCTAGTCCATTACGCGTCAGTTCACAAGAGCATAATAGCCCACGAATTTGATTCCAACTTACATCATGGCATAACAGATCCAGTCGCTGCTGAGTGAGACATAATCGCGAAGCTTTCCGATTCGCTTCCGAACATTAGCTGCATGTGGATTCTCAGTAAATGAGAACGAAAGCACTCCATCGCGAAAGACAACCATATAGAAATTCACGGGCTCCATGAATTGCTCGCTGGTTTTGTCCATCTGGTAAAATGTCCTGAAGCAGACAAAATAATACTGCTTGAAAAGCTCGACCTTTTCACGAGCTTCCTGGGTTAGGATGTCCTCCGTTGTCAAAGGGTGGATGGAGAAAGCTCTGGACAAAGCACCCACTTCGTCTTCTGTAGGGTTCAACACGTCAAGCCACCAGACGCCACCTTCCGGGCCAAGCTGGAAGAGATCACGAAAAGTATCCCCAGGCAAGACCAGGTCACCCAACTCTGCAGCATGCACAGTACTTTGAGATTCCGAAGAGAAAAAGCCAAACCGGGTGGGCTCATTCTCATTTTTCATGTTCTCAAGTGACTCCTTCTCATTCGAAACTTCCGCGAATAGCTTTTCATTCTTCGCGGAAATTGAATCCAGTATATCATCAGATGAATTCTGTGTGCTTGAAGATCGTTTCGTGCCATCACTGTCGGAGTTGTGGACGCCCGCACGAAGGTCGTAGAAAATGCGCGGCTTCTTGCTCTGTGAGCTCAGACTATGCTTACGTCTGCTTGTTGTGGGCTTCACTTGCTGGCTGAGTGCAACAAATTCTTCCAGCTCTTCGTAATCGATGACTGGGATTCTGCCAGGCTGCTCGAACGTTGGCACGCAGCCATCATCGGTGGGCTCCAGTTGTGTGTCCCCAGCCTGCGGACGTATCACACTGGCATTGCTGAACGTTGGACGGCGATGATGCGTACCGCCAGAAACAGTACGTTGAAGAATGGCCTCAATATCAGGAGCTCCGTGGCTCTCCAGGGTATTCGCCCGTTCCCGGCGACGTGGATCTGCGAACGCCTCGACTGAGTTAGGCGGGGAGGTTGATCTAGCTGATACGGATGATTCGCGCGACAAGTTGGCATAATCCTGATGTGTGCGGCTGTAAGTGCGACCATGTCGGACATTGCCGGTGGGATCAACAGAGAAACGACGTCCCAGTGCCGTGAGATCTTGAATCGATCGATCGTCGTCGACAATTGCTTGCTCAAAGTCGCGCGAAAAGGACCCGGCCTCTCGCAGGGCGTCCTGTATAATGAGCAGGTCTGGGCGTTGGGGAGTCTCTGGGTGCAAACCCTGCGGCGCGGTATTTTGCCGGCTAAGCGGCACATCGGGTGCGGCGTCCATTCGAGGCGGATCCAGTTGAAATCTGTGGTCATCGAGTTCGGGGACAGGTGTGCTGTATCTAGTGAGAAACATGTATTTCTCGGACTTCGGTGACTCAGACATTGTGCCGGAATCGATTTCCGTGTAGTCGCTGTGTTTCGGAACTAGTCGATCGGTTTTCTTTTTATAGGATGCGCGTTGCAAGTGACTGAATTTGAACGCCCTGGCTACTTGTTTCTCGACGTGTTCGGCTGGGCTCAAGAACGCGATATTGCACACAGGATGATGGGTGAATTCCCAGGAGTAATTGCTCCTCCATCCATTAGCCAGACCCGCCGGTAGGGCCTGGCATTACCGATGCGCGTCCGTGTGCCAGCTTCAGGATTGCTGGGAAATCGTATTAGGGGGGTCTGGTGTCGCCCCCGCAGAAGACCCTGAACTTGGGGCCCAAAAGAGGGTGAGGGAGGGAGGACTGGTTGTAGCGAAGGCCCGCCAACTTGACTGGATCAGGTGAATAGGAGCGTTGTCGCTTCAGGGGGTTGCAGAAGAGGTGGTTGGACAAAGGAAAGTCCTTTGACCAGTGTCTTCGAAGCTCGCCTCAAGATTCGAGCAATGACGTTAGATGTCCGACTTGACACTAGACGAACACGAGTGCGTGTCAGAAATCCAGATTGATGATCGATGCTGGAAAGGGGTGATCCTAGATTCGGCACCAACACTAGGAAGGGATGAATGTGTTATTAGAAGTTGGGGTTGTAGGAAAGTCGGTTAGAATGACTTGTGTGAGGCCGCAAAGCCAGACTTTTCTCAAGAATTAGGTTGGACAGTGCACTCGGCAAGAGAACTTCACGCAGAAAGTTAGTCACCACTAATCAAAGTCCTTTCGGAACACATTACAGACCTTCTGTGGGATCAACGAAAACGGGGGTGAGTTGTGGTAATCCTGAACTCTCCACCTTGAGAAGGTGATTCCGTCTTAAGCCCAGAGACGAGGAGGGGAAGGGGAGGGGAGGGGGGAGGGAGGGAAGAGGGAGGCAGAAAACCGGAGTTGGTCAATGATCTATTTTACAAGGGCTCAAAGAACAGTGGACTGAAATTACTTACGATGGAGGCGGGCAGAGATTTCCGCTCGAGGGCCACAATAACACTGAGGTGGGACTGCCCGGGTGTAATCGCATGACCATAGCTTGTATACTTCCCTCCTTTTTTGTTTCTCCCTTTTTGTTTTGGGTCAGCGTGAAATGGGGAGGTGGATGATTCCACTCTTTGCTTCCTTAGCTTCAACTCATACAATTTAAACTTGATAGTTAACCTGACCAGTGTATGTACATATATATCTTACAGACAAGACAATACACCCCACAAAGATTGGTACAGAGCGAGAGAGTCAGTGTGGTTACTGTATTGTACTTACAGTACGCAACCACTTCACTTATCACTCTTCATTGTCCAGGCACCAACTGCCACTTCAAAATTACCATACCTTTTACCGACAGAGGATTTACATGAGTAAGGCATGCTTTCAAGAGACACTACGTATGTATCTCGCATCATGAGGTGGTTTCGAATGTTTCATACGTAGTATAGTACAGTATAGTACAGTACAGTACTACATATTGGTATGACTGGTCGTGGTACTACTAAGTGAGTTTATACTACCTCGTATCATGTCAGTAAAGTACTGAACTTTGTCCTGAGCAGATAGACCCAGTGGAGGTTTTCATAGATGCCCTCGACCTCCAGATGTGTTGTAAGTTATGTCTTTGCTCCCGAGTCCCACCTCCTGTTCGAAGATTCTCATTCTCGAGGGCATCAGGCACCAATTTTATATTTAGCTCCAGCATGTCTTCCGTCCCGAGCACGGAAGCCCACGTTCTAGCCGGTAGATTAGTTGATTCGTCGCATGTGATGTCCCGGCCGTAAATCATAATGAGAGTAGTAAACATGGAATCTCCCTCCAAAGATGTCATTACCGCTCATTGCTCCGTTCTACAAGGGAGGCAAAGAAATTAGGGGTTTCCCAGTCTGATCCCTCGTGGTCACAGGGATGGTTTCGGTCCGTTTGCTGGGGGTGAGAGACCCAGTTCATGTTACATGGGTGTTGAAGTAGCCAATACATTAAATAATTGTGGTCGTAAGAGAAAGAGTAAGGTAGTAGAGCAGTAGAGCATCAGAGCGTAGGCCGACTGACTCGATACTGTAGGTTGTAGGAATAGTCAATTCAACTCTGCATGGTTTAGCTTCTCTGGATCCGACCTCGGCCGATCATCGGTCCCCTTCCTTCCCAGAAGTTGAATTTTCGGCCGCGCGCGCCAAGACATGAAGAGTCACCGAGACGAGCAACTTGGAATCGAGTCAACTTCTATCAAAAGTACTTTGGATCCCATTATCATTCTTCCGGGCCATCCTTTCGACCTCTACCATTTTCTGAAGTTTGTTCTCTTGCTCAAGGCCTTTGGTCTTGCCTAACTTTTTGAACACAATGGCTTCTCCCACCTCGTTTTCGTTAAAGATTCCCTGCTCCTCCGCCAATATCGGACCTGGTTTTGATGTGATCGGCCTGGCATTGTCCCTTCATCTCGAACTTCAAGTCACCATTGATACCTCTAAGGGCTCTTCTCCACAACCACTCAATTGTGTGATCACTTACGAGGACCGGAGCAACAGCGTCGAGAAGATCGACCTGGACCCGGAAGTGAATCTGATCACCCGTGTAGCTCTATATGTACTTAGATGCCATGACCAGAGGGCATTCCCCGCTGAGACCCATGTGCACATTGTAAACCCAATTCCACTGGGCCGAGGTCTCGGCTCATCAGGCACTGCAGTCGTGGCCGGTGTAATGCTGGGAAATGAAGTAGGCCGCCTGGGCCTGAGCAAGGAGCGGATGCTAGATTATTGCTTAATGATAGGTGAGTTATCCCAGATGTGAGGTGCAGAGAGGTGGCCAGAACTCTACCGGGGCAGCGGGACTGTGCTGACTATGTTTACAGAGCGACACCCTGACAACGTTGCTGCCTCGCTCTTTGGAGGTTTCGTCGGAACCTACCTCAACGAACTCAAGCCTGAGGACGTAGCGCGCAAGGAAATACCTCTTAGCGAAGTCCTTCCCGCCCCCGCCGGTGGCGTTGATACCGGGAAGAGGCCCCCCGAGCCTCCTATTGGAATCGGCCACTATAGGAAGTTTCAGTGGGCCAAGGAAATCAAGGCTATCGCTATCATTCCCGACTTTGTGGTGCCAACCGCCAACGCAAGAAGCGTCTTGCCGACTTCCTACTCACGAGCGGATGTGGTAAGTTTTTCTGGGCCCTCATTTCGCACCTGGCGTACGGGGTTTATCAAAGAGATGTCTCACGGCACTAATTGGCCACGTCAATCAGGTTTACAACCTCCAACGCGCTGCTTTGCTCCCTGCCGCCCTGGGCAGTTCCCCCCCGGACCCGGATATGATCTATCTGGCTATGCAAGACAAGGTTCACCAGCCTTATCGCCAGACTCTTATTCCGGGTCTGACGGAGATTCTTCAGTCAATGAATCCACGTACCCAACCTGGTCTCTTGGGAATATGCCTTTCAGGCGCGGGTCCAACTATTTTGGCTCTAGCAACCGACAATTTCGAGGAAATCGCAGATCGTATCATTGCTCGATTTGCTTCCAATAACATCACTTGTCAGTGGAAGCTGCTCGAGCCTGCCCAAGCCGGTGCCACTATCCAGTACTAAAGAACGTGCCAATTTACCACAATTGCATGCCGCTTTCCTCAAGAATTCACATAGGCATACAGATCTGAAGCAAGATTCTATGGTCTTATAGCGTGCCAATCTGCGAGTAAATAGATATTTACCGGAGCAAAGCATGCACACAAGAAATGGTTGCAGGGATCATAAAGTGGACTTGCTACTTAATGACCTGTATAATGGTTAAAAGCCCGATATCTGAGGGGCCTCCCGAATCACTTGCACGATCCTCGGCTTAGGCCCTATAGAGTTGACTATGTAGCTATTCAACCAACAAACACCGTTGGTGTTGATTGTATTTTTGTTTGTTTAGCTGGTGAACAATAGAAGTCGCCGCACACGGTGGCTTATCTGTATCGGAGCCTCGATAAGTCAAAGGCGGTGGAGATAATGCCACGACTTCAACTCCTGCTGCCGCCACTACGTGGAAGGGGCTGTGTCTGACCACGAAGAGTCAAAGCCGACCGTGAGCGTTGATTATCCTCATTTAAGTGCACGCCCACAGAATTTGCCATGGACAATCTGCTAGCACCTATCCAAGATGCTCTGGAAGGCCAAATAGTAAGTAGACTCCTGCTCGTTAGTCAAACATAACAGAGCATTAACCCGGTCCTTTCTACCTTGACAGGACTACCAAGGCCAGCACATGGCAGAACTTCTTTCTACGGTCCTTCTTATCATGTCAGGTGTGAGTACAAGCATGCTGGATTCACCAATGTCGCTGTGTCTGTCCCATGGGCCGCTTACGAGTATTCTTGAAAGGCTATTGCTTTCCTTGTGGGATACATTCAGCAAGACATTCATCTAACCCTCTGGGTTGGACTCGCGGGTACAGTAGCAACTGGCTTGATGGTGATCCCGCCTTGGCCTATGTACAACAAGAGGCCTGAAAAATGGCTGGCACCGACGTCGGCAGATATGGGAGTTGCAGGGGTCATGGTAGATGGTGTAAAGTTGCATGAGATTTAGCTGTGGACTTTACAATTCATTCTGAGCCTGATTCGATCACGGTTGTCCGCGTCCCTCACGAACAGCCTAGATCTGTATGAATAATTCGAAAGTCACTGCTCGGAATGCAAAAGAAACCGCTCAACGCCACCCAATCCCTCCCAATCCGATCATACTCAGTTAGAGAATTACGAGTGAAGCCATGGCCAGCCTGCTGTCTGGACCCAATCGCAGCAGACACGAGTCTACCGACCATACTTTTGAAACTCCCAGTCTCTGTTGTCTAAGGGACAGACTTGGCGAGTTTTCAGCCATCGTGAGATACAGTGGAAGTGGAAGGCGTGCTTGGCAGGAGTAATTCCGATCAGTGATCTGTACACAAAAAACGAGGAGAGGATAAGCTCACATTACAGATGCCCCAGGCTACTGTACACTCTTCCGTCGTAGATGAACCTTGATTTGCCTGGCATTCGATGCCTGCAATTATAACACGTCAGACACGTCAGGCATCAGGTTTAAAAAAGAATGACAGCCGTACATAAATCCATGATATGGTTGCGGCAAATCGCACAGTTGTCGACAACAATGTCCCAAGCCCACAGAGCCACAGCGTTCCACTAGAGCGATACTTGTGTTATTTCCGATGTGCAGATAGGAGAACGGCTTCAAGTGGCTATACCTTCTTGACCTCGAACTTTTTCTTGCCATCACTGGAGGCATCTGTGGCCTTGGACATCTCCTTCGCCTTAGAGGCGCCAGAAGTGGTCGCCTCTTTCATTTCCACGTCCGCCATTTTCACTTGTGTTGAGGTCGTTCCTTATATGTTCAGTGAGCGCGGGGTTGTAGGCGAAGGCCAGATGATGCCTTCTCTAGTTGCGTAGGCTCGGAAGAGGGGCGTGCAGCTTGGAGGATTACGTAGGTTTCGGTTGATAGAGCAGGCGGTACCTCGATTAGTTAGACTAGGTCCTGTCAGTTTAACTGATAACTTGTTGCGGTGTACGTACGGTACAGTGTAGGCAGGGCAATTAGCGCGAGACACCTTGATTACTAGGACGTACGCAAGTAAACACACTTCTCACACTTCTGCGAGAACCGTCAAATCTTCTTATAGTTCGTGATTACCAAGTTGTGGACTCGAAGGGAGAGAGCGAAGATATCAACCGCACTGTAACTGACTGAAAACAACTGCTTGCTACCTGATCCTCGACCGACTTTACTGTACGCAGTGAGCCAAGGTGGGCGGCGGATGCTGAGTCATCACTGTTCACCCCCGCTCCTCCCACCCCCAGCCTTTCTTCTTCCCGCCCTTCCCATGGTCCAACAACCACTTCGAACCCAACCCAGCTTCAACGACTTCCTACAATGTTTCCCAGCCTGCTTTCTTTACTCTGTCTTTCATCGCTCGTGTAAATGCGAGCATGTCTAGGATCTCTGGCTTACTTCCTCTTTTACCATCCTCTTACTCATTCCACACTTGATCTTGTACACAGAAGCTTGCATATATTCCCCGTGCACACCCTCCGATCCAAGGCCAACTGGTTGGGCTACACCTCACCATCGCACTGCGCAATTGTCACTTCGTCGTCTCTTGAGATTGTAGTGTCGGGTATTCCAGCACAGGCTGCTGGACACACTGCGTAATACAGCGAATTTCTCGCCTAATTATTCTGACTTGGCTCTACTTGTTATCGCGCTTGTTTTCTCATATCCGCTTCCGAAGCTGTGTCTATCTTCGAAGGCCTTTCACAATGTCAACCCAATCACCTACTCCTCCAACGCCAAAGGGTCCTCGAAACAATCGTCGGAATTCGAAAAGAAATACCACCCCCCTGTCTCAGAAGGTCACCTTACTGGCAACCCCGCCCTCGTCGCCACCACGGAATCAGAGTCCTGGCGGAACTGCCACGGACTCTTCTTTCAACTATAACCCTAGTGCGTCTAAGAAGAAGCCTGCGCGGACCAACAGAAAACCTCGCGATGCATCAAGGGCCTCTCCTATTTCTAGCAACGGGCATCGGCATACCTCATCGCACTCACACAATCTTTCCACCCCACAAGCAAAGGACAGCTCGCATTATGCAGGTCCTACTTTTCATGCATCGCCAGCGCCGTCCGCTCTTCCAATACCAAGCTTTTTTTCCAAGTCGTTGCCTGAGTCGGACATCTCTTCGGGGCTAGAAGCCGACAACGACAATCTCGATACCAGTCCAGAATCAGAAAGTACGCCCTCCAAATCTAGAGTGCGTCCGGTCTATGAGGACGAAGGACGCAAACCCACCCCACTCGATTTTCTCTTCAAAGCTGCAGTTGAAGCTCGAAATACTCAGCAGCCGCATAGCCCGGAGTCGATCATGAGAATATCATCCCCACAAACCGCTTCGAAAGCTCTTTGCAACCGCAGTACCATCGGCGCTGGCGCTAGCGATGGACTCTTCACGGCCGATGTGGATGGTCCCGAAAGCAGTCAATCGCTCATCGGGGCCTCATTCGCTGCATCCTACAAGGATCGCATGAATGCTCTGCGGTCAGCCAGTTCACCCTCTCCGTCAACAGACCACCTGGACGAAAATGAACGACAGGTTAAGACAGAGGCTTTGAAGAGCCTGCTGCTCAACCCTCGTCCTCAGAGACCGTCCTCAGCCTCGGTTACGGCCCAGAAACAACATGGAAGCTTCAGTGGGCATTCCTCTGCCAACCATAATGTGCCTCACTTTGCGACTCCCCTAAGAGCAACTTCTGGGCCACCTGCTTCTTACTCGCATGGTATGTCTACCGAGCACCAACAACCCGTTCCTGGCATCGGTTCGTATTCGCCATTACCATACACGCAACACCACGCTTTTCACCAATCCCAGCCCCCATACTCGCCTCTTCGAAAGGAGGTTCTCTCGACGAAAGTTGGGAATAGACCGACTGTTCCTGGAGAAGCGCACTACCCTCCTCCACATACCTACGGGCAGCCAAGGTCTCCGCCTAAATACGTACAGTACCCAATGTACTATCCCCCACCTCAGCACTCTCCCGTGTCACGTGCCATCTCGGTTAGTCCGGCTGCGCAATCTGTCGATACTAAGAAGATGGAGGATGATTTGCGACGTATATTGAAACTCGATGCGCCCTCCGGTGTTTCAGCTGGTGGCATTCAAAGCTCATTCGCCTGACTGCATCTACAGTCACAGAATGCTAGCCTTTACTCTTGTGCTGATATTTGTTCCCGATCAATTCTTATCTTGATGCTTCGGGTCTTGAGTACCATCTGTTCAATGATTGATTTGAGCTCAACTCCAGCTTCTGAGCGCATCTAGGGCGATACTAATAGCCGTGTTCGCATCATTGCATGTCTTTCCTTCAGACTATGATATGTCTTTAACCTTCCCGATTTTCTATCTGGCTCAGTAGCTATTCTTCCCTGCTTGCCTTGTTTCTCGTTCCTTAAGGGTTTTCGTTTTGGCTTTATCCCCACCAGTCCGCCCTCCCTTGTTGGTATTCACCGCAGCTCATGTTGGTAACTTTATGTTGTGGATGGCTGGGATTATGACTCTCGCTGGGATCAGTTATACCCCATTTGCATCAAACCTGGAGTCTGGTTGCCTTTTGAGTATTTTTCTCTGGGTGTCGAACCGGCAAGGCTTGATGACCGCGTGGTATACTTCATTGTTGTTATTATAGTACTTCCACTCGTCATGTTTCTTTGCTCACATCTCGTCGTGAGGGCTATCTTTCAATTCATGTGTTGCCTTGATGGTCGCATTCTCTGGCCACCCTATATCATGTCGGGATTGTGTGGCACAATGCTTTCTGGCTAGATTACTCGTCATGATGCTGAGGCAATCTTCATCGAGGGCAATTTTGGAGCAGTTGTTGCTGGTACACACGACCCCGCATAACCTTCAGAATCTCTATCATTCCTATGCTTCTATATTTTTCGACACACACTAATCTGTATCTACGTTCATTACCGTCCATGCCTTCCATTATCTGATGTGGCTCTCTCTGCACACAATCATGTGCCGGCTGTTTATCATGGGATTTTCAAACACTCTCCGTGTCGTGATACATGAGTGATGACGCATATAAGTGATGTTGCTATGGGTCATGGCTAAGGGGGGAGCCACCCCCCACCCCTTGCTGCTTGTTGCATAGGCATCAGGCGAGCTTCCCAAGAAGAATCAGAACAGATGACAGTATTCATGGACACTGGCTGCTTAGCGAGGCAGATAACTCAGAAAGGAATTTGGAAGGAAACATGGACATATTATATTATATGAATATATATACATATATATTTACATATGAATATATGTGAGTATGTATAAACTCTAGCCCTGCCTGGCGGAGAATGTGAAAGGACAAGGTTAAGGAGTAGCGATAGACTAAAGATAGCTACCTAGTAGATATTAGAGAGTCCGTACCTGCGTAATTACACCCAATGACCTCAAGGTTGTCATCCACTGCATCTAATTAACCTGACTGGAAGAGAGTCCAGAACGCGGACAGAAGCCGCCACGACAACGAAGCCAACAAGCCTAACGGCGAAATGGTACGTACGGAGTAGTTCCCGACGACCCACTCGGCTTCTGCTCCACTTTGCACTGAAAAAATTACGCGGCCAGACACAAAAAGAGTTGATGAAGATGAAGATGGAGCATGTAGGTTACTTCTCTGTATCAGTACTATTTTGAGTAGGACACAGGAATAATAATAATGAGTCAACCGGGACTGTTTGTATTCATTTGTCTATGTACTGTATCGCATTATACCTTTATGGTATGTAGGGACTTGAGTTCGATTACCGCTTTAGGGGAAATTAATATTGACACCAGTTGTATTTCTAATACAGCCAGTGTTAGACCCTATGAAGTAAGTGGTAACTTAGAGCTTTCTCAGCTCCTTCTCCTTTATGTTAGTGTATATATAGAATCCATGATGTGGTTATTCAAAATGAGATTGATATGAATATAGACCCCTTAACCATAATAAAAGGAATAGAAAAAGATTCCCTAGTCAATATAATCAGCCCTGGAGAATCCCAGTAGCTCCTAACATAGAAAACATTCTACCAAAAACATAGATATCTCTAATACCATTACCGGTTGTACGGGAAAGACTGCTGGTGTCAGTATCAATTATTTGCATTAAAGGGGTTTGATGATATAACTAACTACTAGGTACTTTATGTGCTGTGTACCAGGTATGACCACTCCGTAATCACCAGTTAGCTGTAAGTACAGAGTCTACATAGCAACTTCCTCATATCCGGATTCAGCTATGATACTTAAACAAGAGCGCAGGAATGCAGTGGCGCTCTTTAGAACCCGAGCTTCCCTCGCGCAGAACGTGCATTCAGGAGAATTTCTAGGCAGTTTGATGAAGAAGAAAGAGAGAGAGCTATAGCAGCTATACTGTACTGTACTGTATAGTACATTAGGATAGCCCCCGAATTTCAGATAGTAAAGGCAGGAAATCCGGCCAGCCAACTTCAGCAGTCTCCCCTTCCTTCCCTGGTTCCAGATGCCGCCGCAATTCCAGGGGCAATCTCTGTTCACTACTCCGTACAGAGTGATCATCTTAGATACATATTAAGCAAGTTAGTAGTTAACTACTTGTACTGCAGTAAGCACACAGACTATCTCACAATAATCCCTGGTGAACAGGATGAATTAAATGGGTACTAATGATCAAAGTCATCACTAACTAAGTTACGGAATACAGCAGTTATATATAAATCAGATCTCAGACGATACTAATTAAATACCCTGTACAGAGTAAGTCAGAGCTAATCGATTATCTTAGTTGCTATTTACTTTCCTCTTCTTGCCTCCTCCCCTCCCTCTTTCTTCATCCATCCCCAGTTTACTCTGTACTTATCCACGGATTCAGTTGCTTCTTTCCAATACTGATATCAAGCATTGCTCACTGGAATAGGCTCTTGAATCGATTTTTATTCTTATTCTTATAGGGTTGGTTCTCCTCTCAATTCTCCGATCTCCTAATCCTTACCGGTCAGGTCTATTTTTCATGATTGATTTGTTCTTTTGAGATCTTCTCTTCTCTTCTTTTCTTCTGCAATTCTACTTCTACACTCTGACTACTCTCCCTCCCTCTCTCCGCCCCTCTTCCCCCTTCCTTGCCGCCTTCCCCTCCCACTCCGTCCACTTCTCTTCTCTTTCTTCCCTCCCTCCCCCCCTCCGTCTCCTCATCTTAATTATTCACACACTCACACTCATATTCACACTCACACTCACATTTCCTCCTCCTCTTTCCCACCTCCCCCTTCCACATCCCTTTTCGTTCCCTGCCCCCGGCCCGAAAAGAGCTTCCCATTACAACACGCGATTTTCTCTCATCCGTCAATCACTCCATTTCGTCACTCACCTCCACAATTTGAACATATCTTGCAACTCAAGTCCTTGAACAACACGACAGACTTCGGTTTCCTGCATCAACCTCAGACACAGAGCCAATGGTCACCTTCCGCTGTTCCTGATCTAGGCAACGAAGAAACATCCGTTCGGACACGCAACTCGGCTTCTTGTTACATCTTCCTCCCTTCCCCACCCGCCTCTCACAATGGCGAATGCGTAAGTGCTTTATATTCTTTGTGGTTGACAGAAACACACGAAACCATATCTCTTATCGACTTTACTGCTGTCAGACCATCTAACCGCTTAGATAGCATCGGTTCAGCATGGCGTTCCTTTTGGCATACCATGACTTCCTATGATCGCCATGCATCCCACGACTCACCTTATCGATCAGGCAAACATGTACCTCTCAGTCAAAGCCGACACGAGCCACTCACGTCTATTGCGACAAGTGCTATCGAATCGCGCCCAGATTTAACTGCCCCTTACGATGACGACCAGCAGAAAGGCTCGAATGGCTGGTCTGGATCTCCTACGGGTACGGGGTCCCCGAATCGCCCTTATTCGCCTGGTATGCGTTCATTGTCATCACAAAAGCGGCAGTCAACCGACCCCGGTGTGGAAGGAGTTCCGGAGATCCAGATGCAAAGCTTTCACGACGGCGCCCCGCCTCCACCCCCGGTTGGTCACTCGTGGAGAAAAATTGACAGATGGCTGGAACACAATTACGAGGAGCTTTTCGATAACTTGTGTGAGGGCTGTACACAGAATGATATCAACGAATTGGAGCACGAACTAGATTGTAGCTTGCCACTAGAGGTTCGGGAGTCGTTGATGATGCACGATGGGCAGGAGCGCCCGGGTTTGCCTACTGGCATCATCTTCGGATGTATGCTCCTTGACTGTGAGGAAATCGTCCAGGAATGGAAGAACTGGAGGACAGTCAATGAAGAATTCTTGAGCAGCTCGATGATGAACTCGGCCCCGAAAGCAGTCGTCAGCTCGTCTTCGGCCGTTCCGCCCACGCAAGCGTCAAATCCCATGTGGAGACAGGATCTTCTCGAGCGTCAGGACTCGCAGCCCCCGAATGCTGTTCAAAAGGCGTATGCTCATCCTGCGTGGATTCCTCTGGCTCGTGACTGGGGCGGCAATCACATTGCGATTGATCTGGCCCCCGGGCCTGCTGGGAAGTGGGGGCAGGTCATCCTATTTGGCCGTGACTATGATTGCAAATATGTGGTCGCTCGGTCTTGGGCCGCATTTCTGGCCATGTTTGCCGATGATATTTGCGGCGGCAAGGTTCACGTGGACGAAGAAACCAATGAGCTCAAGCTTCTCGAATTCAAGGCGCAGAATGTCGAACCCCCTTATCTCGAGATTTTACGCTGGAGAACTGATCAAAAGTATGGTCGAAAACCACCTCGCCGCAAGACTCCCAGCGGCTTAGGACTGACTACAGGAGGCAAATCTGGCCAAGCATCCCCCTATGGCAGCCCCACCCCGAGTGAAGAACGTGGCAGGTCGCCGCATCGCTTCTCAAATCGTGGTTCTACTCAAAGCCCAAAGACTCAGTTTGGCATCTCAAGTCCCCTGGCTCGCGTCACGGAAGAGGCCACAAGTCCTGTTCACACCACAGCGGATGCTAGTAACTCAGAACTTGCATTCAAAGATGAACAGACCGAGGATTTGATGGAGATCGCTACGCCCCAGATATCTGGGAAAGAGAATGACGAAGCACTGGGAGCCGAGCCTGAGCATGGACTTTCAGAAACAGACAAGGGACTGTCAGACCAACCTCCCGCTACCGGGTTGAACCCTGAGGTCTTAGGCGAGATGAAAAATGTAACTATCTAGACATCGTTTTTGCAGCGCTGTTTTGTTCTTTGTATTTCTGCCAATCCGTTTCCCTTATCATGCCTTCGCTCTGACTATGAGCATTTTATACTTTCGCAGTATTAATGAAGGTTGATCTTTTGTTCGATTGTCGAGCATGCCATTTTCTCCTCGGCCCATTGGCCAGCGATGGGGATATTAACTTATTATCTGAGTCCATTGTATAAACTTCTCACTTTGTCCTTCATGGCCCCAATGGCTTTGACTTTTGTTTCTTATTCTACCTCATTTGCTGTCCGAGCATTCTCTGCTGATCGTCATTGCTTAGGCAGTTGTCTGTGGATCCTTTCGTCGCCTTTCTTCTCTGTCTTATGCCTTTACGATGTTTGTATGTAATCTTACTTGACAATGATGCGGTATCCGACCACTTCCGGCGAGTCACATCCAGTCATTCTTCTATTTTAATTGCTCGGTTCCTGGCCATGAACACTCAAGGAAGTGTTCAATGGTAAATCTGCCAAGAGTCGGATCGCCTGCAGGGACCATCCGTCCCATCGTGATGAAAATGCGCAAAATGACTAAGGCAGGTGGCTAAAATCTTTGTTTTTTCCCGACACGAACTTTGCATCGATCACACGGGGCTCGTTTGGTTCAATGTTTCGAGCCATCCGGTGAAAGCACTTTTGCTTGTAGCGGCGACAACCATAGACGAGCTTGGTCATCATTTGATTGATCACGCGAAAATAAGAGGTCCTATAGCTTAGTGCGTGACGCAGAAACTTGCGATTAAAGCGCATCTGTTCACCAAATGCTCACAGACACGGGCATCCCAGCACCACAGTGCATGGTTCGGGATACTCAAATCCGTCAATTATGCAAGGGCCTATTGCTTCCATCATTATGCTTTCTGGGGTCGGAAAGGCTTCATCTCGTTCAACTCATAGTCACCATGCATTGGTGATTACGCCCAAGCCCTATTTTGGAGGCGAATTCAATGCTAATCCCAATCATCATCCTCACCATCCTCGCCGCCAGCAAGGCGGCGTTGATATACGTTACCGCTCCGGATGGCCCGTTGCCTTCCATACCCTCGCCCATTTTTGTCGTTGTCGCTGTCTTCGTCAGACTGGTCTGAGGTGTCACCCGTAGCCTTGATTTTCTCTTGGGTGAGGATTCCTTTCCAAAGAAGCCGTTTCTCTAGCGTTGCCGTGCTGAACCCGTCTGTCCCATCGCGCCCACCTGATCCAAGGCCCTCGAATCCCACCACACGTTCGACCGCTACCCCATCTTTGAAACCTATGACACAGGGAAGGACACGAATCTTGAGCTTTTCTACAACAAACGGGGTGTCCCGCACGTCAACCCGCGCAAAGCGTACTTCGTGGTGCTGAGAAGCCAGCGCCCGGATGTGCTCGTCCATGGTGCTGCAACGCGCGAAATCTGGGTGTGCGAAGTGAATGACACATCGGTGGGTTTGTGTTGTGAAATCCAGAAGTAATTGGTCGGTTCTTAGGATGGGATAGAGACTATCCTCAACGACTGTTCCAATAGGAGCTGCGGTGCTGCGGGCCGCGTCGTTCTGGGCTGCAGTAAACTCAGCGTTGAGCTGTTCGATTCGATGCGCGCGGTACGATGAATCGTCTTCGTTCTCCAAAGCTTCAAGAAGGGCATCGTCGTCGGATTCATCCCGGTCTCTGGTAAGATGATGGGCCATGGAGATGAGCGTTTTGGGGAATGTTGACGAACTTGCGTATGTAATTGGTATCCTTGCTGGGAATAACAAAAGGACTAGGCGAGAGATACTGGAGGTGTTCAGCGAAGAGAGGAAGCGAACTGAAGGGAGGAAGATTGTCTGTGTTTGCCCGTGTATTGTCCGTTGTGGGGGACTGTATTTGTATTCGGAATATTACCGTAATTGTATGTTCTATGTACATACATAAGCTGGTAAATTAAAATTACTTTTCACTGGTACCAATAGAGATTGCCGCATCCGGAACCAGAGATCGGCCTCTGCCACCTGCACTGCAGCCAGCCAAGAGTTCTGCTGAACAACACTTCCCGACTCTTCCTCACTCCCTCACTCTGCAGCCTTTATCAAATTCCTCCCATCTTCTCACCATTACCACTCTTATTCCCCCCCCCCCCCCCAAAACCTCCTTCCATTCTCTTTCTCTTATCATTACTTTTGCGCCTTCTCTTGCTCCTCCGTTTAGAGCCATTCCCCTGAGGGACTTGTCTGTATCTTTGATTTTAAGGTTGTTATAAGGACTTTTTGTTCCTTGAAACAACTCCTATCGACACCTTGTCGCTCACTCCGCCAACTGCGACTATCTGAATCCCATTTGAACATCCTCTCTCAAATTGTGCTCTCGCCAATTCCCTCCGTCTCAAGTCAACAAAATGGCCGACGGAAAGAGGACAGATGACTATACGATTGAGATGGACAAACTGGATCAAGGCAACAAGGGTTTCGAGGCGCCGCCGCCGCCTCAGCCAAGGAGCGCCCCATCCAACTCTTTGCAAAATAATCCAATCCTGCCAGTATTAGCTTACTGTGGATCGTCCATCCTGATGACAGTGATGAATAAATATGTCCTCTCCGGCACGGACTTCAATCTCAATTTCTTCCTCCTCTGTATCCAGGTACGTCGATGCAGCATTGAGCACCAGAAACTCATATTTGCGCGAAGCGCGTGTACGAAGATGCTGACCGCAGTTGTCTTTATCTGTCCCCAGTCCGTCGTTTGCATCGTCGCAATTCAGACGTGCAAAGCCTGCGGCATAATCACTTACCGTGATTTTAGCGCGGATGAGGCCAGGAAGTGTATGCAGTTCCAAAGGCAGCCCTACCCGTTGAAACAGATGCTGACTGAATCTCGATCATACTTAGGGTTTCCAATTACCCTGTTGTTGATTGGCATGATCTACACGGGCTCTAAGGCGCTCCAGTTCCTTTCAATTCCAGTATACACCATTTTCAAAAATTTGACCATCATCCTTATCGCCTATGGTGAAGTTCTGTGGTTCGGTGGCTCTGTCACCGGGCTCACGCTGTTCTCCTTCGGCCTGATGGTTTTGAGCTCACTCATTGCTGCGTGGGCAGACATCAAACACGCTGTCGAAAGCAGCTCCGACGCGACCACTACGGTTTCGACATTGAATGCCGGCTACATCTGGATGTTGATCAACTGCCTCTGCACTTCTTCCTACGTATTGGGCATGCGAAAACGGATCAAGCTCACAAATTTCAAAGACTTTGATAGTCAGTCGTTTCCCCTCCGATCATGATCTCGCATCCGCCCTGTTTCTGACGTACCTTTCTAGCCATGTTCTATAACAACCTTCTCTCCATTCCTGTGTTGATCGTACTTTCCGGCTTGCTAGAGGATTGGTCATCTACGAACGTCAACCGCAATTTCCCCCCTGTCGACCGTAACAGTATTATCTTCGCTATGATTCTCTCGGGCTTGTCTACGGTCTTCATTTCATACACATCTGCATGGTGCGTTCGTGTGACTTCTTCCACGACGTACTCCATGGTCGGCGCTCTCAACAAGCTGCCCATTGCGGTTTCTGGATTGATCTTCTTCGATGCACCAGTCACGTTTCCCAGTGTTTCAGCTATTGTGGTGGGCTTCGTCAGTGGTATTGTCTATGCCATTGCCAAAATCAAGCAGAATGCCAAGCCCAAAACGGGCGTTTTGCCCACCGCTAATCCTCCCGTGAGCGCCAGCAGTCAGAGCATGAGAGATTCGTTGCGGTCTTGAATAGAGTTACGCTTGTTAGCACAAACGGTCTGGCTCTAGGATAGAGTTGCCAAGCTGACCACCGGGACCGGTGCTCTGTTTGTGTAATACTTCCACAGTGCAGCGTGTACAAATCATTAGACTGAGTGAAACAAGGAAATCATGCTAATTCAGTAGGTGCAAGAGGCCCTCAAGACTCATTGTTGCGTTTTACATCTTCAAAGCCCCTTGTCGTCTTGACTCAGTCACTTCAACTTCATTTCTATGCTGCATAATATTCTTCGACTTTTAGTCGGCATCGCCAGCATTTATATTTTCACCTTCAGGGTGCGCAGGGGATGCGACAACATTTTCTTGACCAGTTTGTTGTATCTCCGTTTCTCTCGGAATTTCCTCCTCCATCCGCATGGGGCATGGCTAAAGGCGTGTCTTTTCCTTTGACACGGGTTGATTTCACGAAGTCCACCATGGGAAGCGAAGGCAGCGTGGGGTGGGGGTGAATGAACCAATGTGTCTTAGTGTCTTGAGTCTGTATATATGAAAGTCCTATATCACATTTTAATAAAGCCATAGATATTGGTAAATAGTATAGTTGTCGGAAGAGTCGATGTCGCATGCTAAATGTTCTACCTTGGATAGTAGGGGACTTTTTATGTTTCGTACCTGGGCATGTTTGAGGGGGGGGGAAAGATCACAGTCAAATTTACGCGGCGGTGGCTATACCATAAATACAGGCAATAAAATACCTAACCTCCTGATAGTCAACCACATCCCGACTTAACCAAGAGCGGCGAATCAATTCATCAATTGCCCTACTTTACATTCTGTGGCTACCTAGCCCTGTCTTTCTCTGTGTCTCCCTCGCCTTTTCTTTCGTTTTCTCCTTTTTTCTCTGTTCTATTGGTTTGGATAATCAATGGGCAAAGCCAAGAAGGGCCGCCTCCAGAAAGGCTCCGGTGTTGCTGCGGGGGCAGCAGCCCATCAGCCCAAAAAGCACCGGAAAATGCACACATTTTCTCGACTGTCCACGACGACAACGACTCCTCCTCCTCCTCTTGGTCCCCCCGCAATTAAGCATGATGGCAAGGACTCAAAGACTATAACAGGAGCGATCACCTCGCAACAGCCAAAACAGCATCGGCGACCCATCGTGCCCTTTGGGAAGAAAGATCGCATCTTGTTGGTCGGGGAAGGTGAGTTCGTTGTTTGCAGCTAGTTCATCTCGCATCGCTCTTGCACCATATCCTTCCTTCCTTGACCATTCTTAAGGCTGCCTGCTTGCAATCATGCCAGTGTCTCCAAGGCTTCAACAGCTGGCGTTGCAGGAATGCATCTTTTTTTAGCTAGGCCGCAACGTCTTGATGACCTGGCACGAAGGAGGGTTGAGGCGGGCAGTGTGTGTTGACACGCCCGAGAATACTTTCGCGCTACTTTGTCCTTGAAACATGCTTGCTATCATGGACTGTATGGTTCCAGGTTATAAGCGGCAGAGGTTCCCCATTGTTCGCCATGGCATCACCTGATCTACTTCCAGGAAATATTAATCAAAATCCTCTAGGCGACTTTTCCTTTGCCCGCTCCCTGATCCGTCAGTATCGCTGCAAGGCTGTCCTGGCTACTTGTTATGACTCCAAGGAGACTCTTCAGCGCAAATACCCCAAGGTGGATCTCAATATCCACGACATTCTCGCAACATTCAGCAACCCAGCTAGCTTGAGTGAAGACAAGAACCCATCGCTTGGTCCAAAACGTCAGCTTCCGAAGGTCCTGTTCTCCGTCGATGCTCGGAAACTGGGTCTCCCTGCGGGTGGCGGCAAGGACGTTCGCAACGGCTGGTCTCGGCGAGAGCGTCGGCGTCCGGCATGGCAACAAGCGAGAAATGTAGCTCTCGCTTCCGCCCCGGATGGTGGGCAATGGGATATCATCTCCTTCAATTTTCCCCATGTCGGCGGTCTCTCCACCGATGTCAATCGACAGGTTCGTGCCAACCAAGAACTCTTGGTAGCTTTCTTCAAGGCCTGCATCCCATTGCTATCGCCCAGTACAGGGCTGGTGGATGACGATGAAAGTTATGAGTGGGAGGACTATGAAGGTTCAGATTCGGAGACCAGCCAGAATGATGACGACGATGTCGCCGAAATTAACAAGCCATTACGTTCAATAACGGCCGCCGGCCAGGCTGAAGACCAGCATACGTCTGGTGCGGGTCGAATTCTGGTGACCATATTCGAGGGTGAACCCTATACCTTGTGGAACATCAAGGATCTTGCGCGGCATGCTGGCCTGCGAGTGGTCACGAGCTTCAAATTCCCGTGGGCTTGCTATCAAGGCTATTCGCATGCACGGACACTGGGCGAGATCGAGGGGAAACGTGGAGGTAGAGGCGGATGGCGAGGTGAGGATAGGGATGCAAGAACATATGTATTCGAGCTTAGGAGATGTGACCAACCAGTGCCTGGGAAGAATGCACTATCGACCAAAGCTAATCATGGCGCGAGGAAAAAACGAACGAGAGAAGCTTTTGATAGTGACAGTGATTAAGAACACGACCAAATCCCATAGCTAGACCTAGATATGTATACGAATGAATCGAGTCGAGAAGATCACACGGGAATGTCAAGAAGAGCTTCGATCATTTGAAGAATCCGGCATCGAGCATTGATGTCTTCACATAATGTATACTTTCTTCATTTCACCTTCATCAAAAATCTCGCCGGTGGTTGGATCTTTGACCTTTCCCGAGTCAACACAACCGACATTCTTGCTCAACTCTATCAGCCGCTGCTGGCCATAAATTCTGCCGTTGGGTAGAACTATCGGATCGCTTTCGACGTAGCTCTTCGTATGGTGAGCATAAGGCATATTACGGGCAAGTTCGTTGAGCTCGGTAGAGCAAATGGGGCAGACGGATGTTGTAGTAGAGAGAGAATTGGAACTTGAAGAAGTGTAGGCTGAGTGACACGAGGGCGTCTTTAAAGCTGATAAGCCTGCTGATAGTGCAATATGAAGCAGAGGGCGGGATGATAGTGACAATAGCTCATGATGAGTGCGAATGAATAGCTCGGAAAGACGGCTCCATCTCTCAAGAGAGTATAAAGACTTCACATTTGTTAGTTGAGCGACCGTGTTTCACTGATAACGAGCTCTTTCTTTACCTTATAAGGTTCAGCTTTAGTATCTTGCGGAAAAGCAAGTAGTCCTGCGGCCCTGTGTATGTCGGCGGATTGCGTCTCTATATACGGGGCGAGGTACTTCTTAGCATGCATCATTGCCTCAACATATCTTTTCCTGTCCCCACTCCTGATCAATTCAATGTATTGTTGCAGTCGGAGTTCAAATTCGAGATTGTACTATGATTTGATGTTAAGCCTTCGAGTCATATGAGCACAAGAGTGAAAATGAGACATGTCCACAAACCTGGCTCTTCTTCAATGCCGCCTTGTTTTCACCGCACCATTGGAGAGCATCCTTTGTCTCACCTTGACGCAGGCTATCAGCAATACGTTGACACTGTACAAACACGTTAAGATCCACTAGACCCTCAATTCCCTTCTCATGAGCTAGCTGACGTGCACTTTCTATATAGCCAGAGCGCAGCATGTGATCGACAATGAGCCTATTCAACCTGACTCGCGACCACTGGTCGTACTTGACGTCTGCCAAACTCGGGATTTGCTGAAGACTTTCAAGGTGCTGAATGCGTTTTCGGGACTGCTCATGAATACTTTTCTCTTCCTGGTGCAGATTCTCCATCTTGCGCTTCATTCCTTGCATCCGGGATATCATAGCGTCGAGGGCAGCGATGGCTTGGTCGGGCGCTCGGGAATTCGACATTGAGGCATTAGCGATTTCTTTGAGTCCGGGAAGAACAAGTTCCCTCTCCCGTTCAACGAGCCGTTGAAAAGACTTAAAGTTTCGACGTGCAAGTTCATGGGGAAGACGAAGGAGGGATTGGTCCTGTGACATAAAGCGATGTTAAAACCAAGACGGCACTGGCAAATTGTAGACGACTGTCAGTTACCAAGAGCAAATGATTCTCCGCATTGAGCCGGGTTGAAGTAAGCTCCGCCGCCATGACGTCGCAGAGGCCGCACCAAAGACGAAGGAAGTCTTTGCTAATTCAGACACGTGTTATAGAACCTGGCTTGTTTTTGGTCCCCGAGAAAAATAAGAAGAAGGGGGAGGGGGTGATCAAAGGAAGCTGGAGACAATAGGAGTGGGTGGTAGAGAAAGTCCTCAAAGTGGTATGAGAGGGGCGGCCGTGGGGAAAGGCAGAGACACCGCCCAAGTCACGATACCCTTTCGCAAAACCAAGTCGGCATAACTAAAATGAAGTAATGTTCTTCAATGAAATGTCATAACTGAAAGAAAACCTAGGACATATAACTAAGACAAATGAACATATATTTGATGATTGATAACCTTTTCAAACCCAGGACTCCGATACAAAGAAACAAGTATGTTACAGGATTCCTGCCCAAGCGAGGCTCCGAACAGAAGGGGAATTCTCATCCGGAAAACTTTTGCTCTCAAGTCAGGCCCATGTAATTCCCGGAGGTGACTAGTCACTGTCATCACTCTCTTCCTTCGACTTGGACTTTCTTCGCTCCTTCTTCTCCTTCTTCTCCTTCTTCTTGCGCTTACGCTCAGCGCGTTCCTCAGCAGTCTCACCCTCATGCCGTTTGCGTTTCTTCTCTTCGTCATTGTCTTCATCAACCTCCATCTTCGTCTGGGGAGATGATGGCTCTTCGGCAGAAGCCGCATTCTCATTTGTGGCGGACTCAGTAGCAGGCTGACTGGCGGTTTCCTCGGGGGCACTATAGTCTTTATAGTCACTCTTCCACTTGGCGGGGGTAGCCTCGTTGGCACGACCATATTTCTACATGCGAAGTCAGAACAGTCAAATAATTGGTGAATTGGGCATCGTAGACTTACGTCCAGCTTTCCAGCTGACTTAAGCTTCTTCTTTTCCAGAGCCACAGGTCCCAGACCCCATCTGCGAGGGTAAAGGTCGCGCTCCATGATGCACCGCTTGACCTTGGCCACGACACCGTGATCGCAGGTAGACAACTCAACAGTAGACATTTGAGCAATACCAATAGCGATGGCCTCACCCTTGGTAGTCATGAGTACCACCTCCTCGTTGACATCGATACCAGCCTCTTTGCGGACATTAGCCACTGCTGCACTCGTAATTGCGTTAGGCACCACTTACCAAAGCGAAGGAGGCCAGGAATCATGAGCTTGGCGCCATAGCAGACAGCATTGACGGCACTGTCTTTGACAACGATACGCTTGTATGTCGTGAGAAGAGTCTCTAGAGGCCTGATAACCCTGCGCAGATAAGACTCATCGCGCTGATTGTCATACATCCACTGCGCGTCTAGGACATCGTGCAAAGTCACCATACCGCTGTTCTCATCCATGGCACCACTGCGCACACGTCGTAGCTCCTGCATGTGTGCTCCGACTCCAAGAAGGAGACCGAGGTGGACACAAAGGGTCCGGATGTATGTTCCAGCCTCACAGCTGACCCAGAAGACACCAAGATGTCTATCGTTATCGAACTCATAAAGCTTGCTCTCATGGATTGTTCGAATGCGGAGTTGACGCTTGACAGCAGAAATCAAAGGTGGGCGCTGGAAAAGTGCGCCAGTCAACGTCTCGAGTGCCCTCTTGAACTGGGCCTCGCCGCCAGGGATTTTATCGTGAAGACGAATTACACAGACATATTCCTTTCCTGCACCTTGCTGGGACTTGACCAAGCGAGTGGCACGGTCAATACAGACGATCAAGCAACCGGTGACCTTAGGATCGAGAGTTCCGCTGTGGCCAGTTTTCTCCGCTCTTTGTAATAAAAAGTCTCAGTATCTTGGAATCGACTGGTCATGCAAGGCGAGTAGTAATACCTTAAGATCCGCTTCATCCAAGCAACAACCTCATGACTAGAAGGATTGGAAGGCTTGTCGAGGTTAATGACACCGGAATTGATGTACGACTTTAGGTCACGCTTGAGAGGAGAGCAGCCTGCGGGAATTGGGGTGAAGTGACCGGTTCTGACAAGAACTGACATGGCAAAATCAGCACGGGCTACATAGGATTGGATATTCACAATTTTGAAGTGAACGTACGCTTGTCATAATTCTTCAGTAGAAGCGGCCACTCCGAGGTATCGATGTTGGAGGCACTAGCCTCTGGCTTAATCGTGTAGTCCATCTCGTCCTTAGCCACTGCAACCGCCATTGTGAACAGTCTGGCCTGAAGGGTGTTGAGATAGCCAAGTAAGTGCGCGCGTTGGGAAGATGGCGCAGGAAAAATTGCACTTCCCGAGCTAAGGTTTTGCTCTGGCACTAGCGAGGAAGAAAGTCTGGGAATTTTTAGAAGTGCGGCAAAGGCTGGAGCGACCAATACCGTTAGCGCAGAAATTTCGCCCTCCGGCTCGATGTCCCGTGACCTAGACTTTTCTCCACAGGCTCGTAGGTGGAATTTCTTTGCTAATGAATATTAATATTGTCTCTGATGGAGTTCCAAGACAAAATTATCTATTGCTGTACAGTACGCTCCCGACTGCTAATCCTCACAGCTAAAGAATAAGTAGCATGCTAGCGATTATTTGTCGCTTGGCCGCCCCAGACCTGCTTGACGAGCGCCTTTCTTTCTCTTCAGGAATCAATCCCAGCCGCAGTAACTGCGAACCCTTTGTGAACGGCTCCTTGTATTTCAGGGTACTCTTAACTCCTGCTGCTAGCATACCGTTGCTGCATGTTCCCTTTTCTGCTTCTGCACCCTCCAAGGTAGTTACGACCTCGTCTCAGTCACTTCCAAGTCGTCTGCCCGGACCTCTTCGATTCCATGGCCCCTGGAACGCGGAAGTCCAGCTTTCAGAAGCGGCGGCTTGGGTCTGATCTGCTGGCCGAAAAGCAGTACCGTAGGCACGGTTATCGCCACGGGGCGTGAGATCGGAAAAGAATTTCCTGATGAATGCCGGCGTGACAAGGTAGTTTTGTCCACCTCCAAACGCCGGATAGATACGGGTAAGGAAATCATACAGATGGGCAGCGACTATGCCCGTGCCATCGCTTAGAACGGCTGGCCATCCAATAGTGACCAAGGTGAATGCAAGCATCGCCCAAGGCAGAAATTCCACCGGTATCTGGACCACAAAGAATGTCGCCTTTCTACCACGATTTTCCTGGGAAAAGGTGTAAACGAAGGCCATGATCAGAGCTAGAAGTATGATCAGTAGATACACGCATGCTCAGTGCTACAACGGGCTCACCAGAGGTAAAAGTTACGCTTCCCAACAAACAGCCTGCAGTGAGCTTGGGCTTGTTAGTACAGGAGGATAATTGATGTGGCTACATAAAGCGGAACGAAGGAACAAAATCTCGTGAAGAAAAAGTTGAATAAGGTATATAGCGGAATGTAGGGCACCATAACCACCAGCGTAAACCATTGCATCACGCTAGCTATCTCACTGGTCGTCCCACCATGCCTGCAACAAATATAGCCCTGAAAGGATCGATGAGGTAGGCACTATACGGATGCAGGGGTGATCTTCCTCGTTTCCAGGAACCGCTTCAGCTAGAATGCGCTGGGCGGGCAGATATGCGAGGTTTGTTTTTGGTTTGGGAATGGTGAAGATTGGGAAAGAGCAGGGTGGTTTGAGAGGCCCGGAAAATCCGGAAGGCAGCAAGTGGACAAGCCATCTTGACAAAAACAACTGACGCCCTTGACTTACCATTATGACGGAGGCTACAAAGATCGTATACACGAAGAAGTCACCTGGACCGGACAACCTAGGTGATCTAGTTTCCAGGGAGCTACCGTAAGTGTACACTAACGGCATGTTAGCACGCCTTTGAGTCCGATCCAGGACGGCACCGTACTGAAGTAAACATCCAGGAATAGGGAAAGGCGTGGTCGCGTGATCATGAATGAGGTGAAGAGTCTCCAGATCTCTGGGAGAAATTTGAATACAAGGCGGGACTCGAACAGGCAATAATAGCCATTTAATAATCCACCATATATCAAAGCAGACTGTGCAAATGTGATTGCAGAGAGAGTCCTAATTGCACTATTAGTCCTTGTCCAGGGCCACAAGGTGAGTATAAACCCCAAATTCACTTGGGACATACCTTATAACAGGAGGTGCAGACCAAAATTGATCCATAATGTAGTCAGTCAGTCTGGGACTAGACAGCCGCAGATATTTCTTTGTGTTTTGCGAGGCGCTATTCTTAACATTCACATAAGAATGTCTTCTGTTTGACACTGTATCAACTGTCAGGTAGGGAAGGAAACAGACCGCAATTAGGTTCAGAAGGGGTTCTTATAGGTAGCTGAAATGAAGGGGGGAGTGTTGTGTGGAACTTGTTAGCTTGGCTCGGTGAGTAATTTTCCGTTCCGGTAAACGAGATCAGTTGGACCTGCGAAAGTAGTTTGCAACACTCTGCTTTGTCAGCCTGAAAAGTTAAGTTACTCCGCCGCGTACTTCATTGTAATTTGCCTGCTTTCTTCCCACTGTATTCCGTATTACACAGTAGTCTCATTAAATCCAAGTTACAAGTGTAAGCGGGGGATTATCGGATAACTGCTATTGACACCGGCTGTAAGTATGCAACTAAACTCTCAATAGTAGGCGGTAAGCCTCATAAATCTTTTATTCTCTGGATAGTAATATTCCAATACAGAATAAGATACTCTAATATCAATATAGATCTTGTTAATTCGAATAAGAAGAATCCTCAATAAAGAACCCTAGTAGCAGTACCTTCGGTCTCTTACAGCCCTAGGAATCCTAATATAAGCTTATTACAAGAAGATTCTCCCTGTAGGGACTTGTATTTCTGAATAAATTCCAGTAGCAATAGATATACCGGTGTCGATTGCTATTAAGTTATCGGTAGGGTGCGGCGGTACGTGCGAAGGGCGGCAGATCGGCCTTGTATGGTAGGCGGTAAGGTGGTGAACTGCACAAAACCCCATTGCCTACATATGGAAGGGAAGGAGAAAGAGAAAAGACACATTAGTTGAACTAGCAGGTAGCTCGACATCTGGTCAGAGATAACATCAAGGTTACACAATTAGGCTGCCTAGAAGTTTGACCCAAGCACGTCGTATTTTCGTTGCCAGGTCTACTGCAGAGGAAGAGATAACTCAAGCGTAGCATAAAATCCATTAGGATATATATAGGAGGTTGCCACTAATTACACATTGAATAGTCACATGGGGCGCTTAATAGCGAGGCAATGCTCGTGACGGCAGCGTTGCCCAGGTCTCAATGCATGCCAAGTTCCCTACACCGTTCTTGATATGTGTCAAGGACACATTTAACCATCATTTTCCCTGAGGCATTGGAGAGGAGCCCTAATAAAGGTAAACACTCATAGATCCCAAATGTTCTGTTACACTTCACCCCCAGGCACGATCTCCGGCTTCGATCCATGAGTCCTATTATGAAAGGCCCGACAGAAATAGGTTCACTGAATATCAAGCTGAGGGAAAGCCACTTCGAAGTTGGTCGTGATACCTGAAACAAGAAAAAAAGCGATACTAGCCAAATCAAACCAGAGCTGACCTTCGACATTTAACAGTCAACCGAGGGCGACCATAAATTGCCTCGGTAAGCCTGCTATGGTCAGATTTGAAGCTGCTTCTGCCTTAAGATACATTAGTTACTTCATGAGTGTCTGGGCTAGCAATGATAAGGTGAGATAGCCAGAGCAGGTGAAGATGCTACCACATCGGCTACAAAGGACTGCCTTGAACAGTGCCCCGCACGGCTAGTCCTCCGTCTCTGTCCTCAATCCACATGTCCCAGACTCCATGGCTCCCTGCCTTGGGTTTACCACAAATAGTTAGTTCCTCCCCAACAAAAAGAGGAGCAAGATTCTTGTAATTGATTTCCCTGATGGCAAAACCCAGGTCAGACATATGAATCTGGGCGACTGAGAGGAGTAACATTAATGTCAAAGGCCCATGAACAAGCAAATCCTTGTAGCCCTCTTGATCCCGGGTGTACGTCTGGTCGAGATGTATTGAGTGGGCATTGAAAGTGAGCGCCGAGAAACGAAAAAGCAGTGCTCGAGTTGGTGTCAGGGAATGGCGGAAGTGAGAACCTGTAGGGGCTTCGAGCCACGAGAAACACTGTCAGCAGGGGCAAGGCATTAGCGCATTATCGGTTCCTCGCGCACATTTTATGGTTCTGGAAGGTTTTTGGAAATTGACCCTGTCACCGGTAAGCTGCTCTGGCGTCCTATCGCGCATGAAGATCAGGTGCCGATGCTCAATTATTGAAGAATGGCCTAGATCAGCCTCCTCCACTTTCCAGATTCGATCACGAATCTGGCTATGATTTTCTCCCTCTCGAATTTTACCAATTCGTCTTTCTATCCTGACAATCACTTTCTCCTCACCAGTTTGACCTCTCACAAGTACATCTCGAATTGTTTCAATGCACACAGCCCGGCAGCCATCGAGGAGTAAACCACCCGTAGCTGCGAACTGGACACTACCGCCAGCCCATAATCGCCTGGTAAAAGGATATCCTGGAGAATGCAGGAAGTCTGTGCCATCCGGCAATAGCTGGGACAAAGAGACCTGGGGAGGGAAATAGACAAGATGATGGCCAGGAGGCAGGCGGGATGGGCTTCTGATGGAAGGGAAAAACTCCGACGGCGCGCCTGACTGGGGAAGGAGATCGACCAATGTCCGATTCAGGAGGAAGGATTGCTGAGGGTGAATATAATCAAATGTGAAGGGCAATGAATGCGCAGTCAGTTTCCGATGCAGACGCTCGCTCAATGAGGAGTGCTGTCGACAAGTTGCTGCGGGCGGTCCTTGCTTTCCGAAGCGGAGGAGGTGCCTCCTCATCGAGGGCGTCACCAGACCCAGCATGCGTGGGTAAACGGAGAGGAAACGGGAGAAAAAAAATGGTTTCGAGAGGGCGGAGGGCCTGTCGATTTAATGAATAGTTGAGTCAAGCTCAGTTACGGGGTTAATTATGTTAGTTAGTTAACCTAGACATGTTATGTCAGCCGCCGCTGCAGAAGTCCAGCGCTGCTTGGCAGAAGGCCCCCGAATCATACAACTCAAAGCACAGCAACCGGAGCAATGGAGCAGCCTATCAGAGTCACGTTCCTGGGCCCTATAGCCTCCTTCTCCCATCAGGTCAGAAGCACCAGCTATTACCCCACTCCCCATTCGAGTGCTGTTCTAAGTATCGGAGACTTTAGGCTGCTGTTGAAACCTTTGGATCCTCGGCCGATCTGCTACCGTGCGTGTCGTTCGCGGATGCTTTTGCCGCGGTGCAGGAAGAGAAAGCAGACTACGCCATCATCCCTTGCGAAAACTCTACCAATGGATCTGTCGTCCAGACGCTAGACCTTCTAGCAGATCCCAATGGTCTTTATGGCAGTGTCAAAGTGTGCGGGGAGCATTATTTGACCATTCATCACTGTCTGTTGACTCGCAAAGGTGACTTTCTTCCAGACCAGCAGGACTATAACTCCATCAGCAGACTGTACACCCACCCGCAGGCTTGGGGTCAGTGCGATGTCTTTCTTGAGAAGAATCTTAAAGGTGTCGAACGACAGGATGTGTCGTCCACTTCTAAAGGGGCGGAAATTGTCTCGAAAGACAGAAGTGAGCCGACTGCTGCGATAGCCAGTCGCTTTGCCGCAGAATATCATGGTCTCGATATTCTCGCAGAAAATATTGAGGATAATGCAAACAACATCACACGCTTCCTGGTGCTTATGAATGCACAGGCCGATCGCCCCGCTGCTGTGGATTTCGAGCATATCAAGGTCTCTGGGACGCCTAGTGGAACGGCACAGAAGAAGACATTGATTTCGTTTATGGTGCCCCATGACCGCGCAGGCGCTTTGGCAGATGCTCTTCTGATATTCAAGACCCATGGCATGAACTTGACAAGCATCAATTCACGACCTAGCCAGGTCAAGGCATGGAAATATATGTTTCTGGTTGAAGGACACTTGACCCCTACCAGTCTGAACGCAGACGCAGTCTCAGGAATACTACATGGATTAAAACAAGTCACCGAATACTGCCGATACCTGGGCACCTGGACAGACCAGCTTGTACCAAGCTTCGAAGATAAAGCAGTATAGGTAAGATATTGAGGTTTGTCTTTCCAAGTGGGCCCAGCTTAGTAACATCTTTGCAGTATTCTTATCCTCGGGGAGACCTTATTTTGTAATGATAGTTATCAAGCCAAATCACATCTACATGTATTTGAAGGACGTGCTAGGCAGGTATGATAATAGCTTGATTCCTAAATTTCTGGAGAATGTAGGGTTCACGAGATAGTAAAGTGAAAGAAAGTAGAGTATAAGTATAAATGAGAGCAACTCCGATACATAGAAAGCAACAGTCTAAACGCACAAGCCCATCAGTTATAAGCTCGGCAGTCATCGGTGAGCATCGCCAGAGGCGATAGGACAGCCTATCATTGTTTTCCAGTGGTCAGGCCTGGCGGCATCGAAGACTGCCCGAATAACATGGGTTATTATAATGCGGAGCTTGGATGGCCCTGCTGACGATCAAAGTGTCAAAGACTATTTATGTTTAAGAGATGACGAAACATACCTATGGGCAGCTTCAAGATACTTGCACAGGCAATGTCATGGTAAATGCTACTGGAGCCATGCGGTTGCCGTGGGAGCCGCCTTCACGAATCACGGGGCGAGCCGTCAGAAGATCAGGTTCGAGAGCTTCTGGGCGTGCATCCTCGCTCTCTGCGAGGCTGCTAAACCGTCAATCTGTAGTGGGAAGGCATTAGTAACGTGGACCGAGTAATAGGCGTAGTATACAAACCGTCGTAGAATTCATCCTCATCTTCAAAATCAGCAAGTTGTTCGAAGTTGACCTTGTATCGAAGCATCGCGCCAATTCCACCGAAACCCTTCACGAATTGATTTCCTTCGGTTGATTTATCGGAGACGAACTCAAGGGCTGCGCCGAAGTCCTTGTAATTTTCCGCGAGCCATTCAAGGAATGAAGTTTGCTCACTGACTTCCATCTCAGTCCCAGTCTCCTTATCAGTGAACATCTCACGATTGGCTTCCTGGGCCTTCGAGGTATGGACAACAACGTCCGAGCCGCTAGAACTTTTGAGAACCCATCGAGTGATATCGAGATTCTCATACACAATGAGGGTTTCCGCTGCGCCGAGTTCCAGGGCTTTAAGAGTGTCATCGATACCGTAGCAGACCTTCCCGGTGTCCTGGCTGATCTCCTCGAAGTACTTTCCAATAAGCTTCTTTTCCTGGACGAATTTGACGTTGCTCAAAGTCTCTGCGGCAAGTTCTATAGCCTGGTTGAAGCCGTTCTCACCACCGTACGAAACGTCAACAACCTTAATGACCTTGGCTTGTAATCGCTGGTCGAACATATCAGATTGATTCAAATCGTTCTTGAAGTCAGCCGAACCAGCTAAGATCAAGCCAGCAACATTGACCTTGTCATTGGTGATATAGTTCTGCACGGCCAACTCGGCGATCTTGCGCACATAATTATGACGCTTCTCCTCACGAAGACGAGCAAAACGCAAGGCTGACTGACCACCACGGCCGTGCTTCTTTGGCAGATCGACGCTCAGCTTCTGGAGGATTTCTCGGGTATTGCCGCTTAGTGTGCCAAAAAGCGCGCCGTTTCCATCCATGACAATGAAACCGAACTTCTGATCCGACTCCAACAGCTCACTGAGCGCTTCCGTGTGAAATTTGTTGTCACAAAGGTAAAGCGAAGTATTGATCGGCTTGAAAGGCTCAAAGTCAATGTTAATTTTGCGCTCCTTGCCCTCAGATGTGATAATTTCACCGCAGTAGACGACCAAGCCATTGGGAGGAACTTTGTTGTACAGCTTGAGACGCTGCTGAGTGGATGTAATGGCGGAAAGGACAGAAAGTCGATTGACGCGGGATTTGATGTTTGAAGCAGTGCCCTGCAAGACGTACCGCATTAGCACTACACCATATCAATTCGCCTGTTAAGTTCTTCTCTCACAAATTCTTCGGCCAACATCTTCGCGGCTCTAGAGATCTGATCCTTCGGGGCTGCGAGCGGCTTGGAATTAGTGTGGCAACCACGGTCAAGTATCTAAAATGGAGGACATACGAATAATTAGAGAGATCATCGAGGTTCCATTCCCTCGAGCCATCTCCAGGCGCTTGATGAGCTTCTTGACCTTCCATATCTCAATGTTCTTCTCCGCTTCGTTCGGCTGAGCCGCACTCATGTTGGCGAGGCGACAGTAGTACAAGACCAGGAAAAGGTTGAGGCAAAGCTGGTGAATGCTGATTGTACTATCAGCGAAGCTGATCGCGGGATTAAGATAGGGACAGAATAAAGTGAAGAAAAAGGAGATTGCGAGCAGGCAAATTCCGGGGGTGTGAGGTTTAAAAGCGGCCGGCGAAAGGATGGAAGGGGTTAAAAAGCGCATACGTACCTCTAAAGCTGGTCTATGTGCCTTCCGAGTCCAGCGGGGTGTTAAGCAAATTTCATCAGGCACCGTGGAGGGGGCGGGAATGGATTGAAATGGGTCGGCAAGTCGCCTGTTGGCGATGACATAAGCGTCTATTTCCCACAAGGAGTGCATGTATGTATTGTACATAACAGTACAGTAGCCACGAACTTATAGTCAGGCTCTATGAGGATATGGTAGGCACTGCGCCGTGTATTACCCTTCATAGTGCGGCAAAGACAACCTGTCCCGATTTGAACTTAACTGAGAGAGTGTCTATACCTCATGCTAACCCCTGGAGCTTGTGGATTTGCAGCAATTTGAAGAGTGTCTAGACAGACCTCTTTGACTCTTACAGAGGGGTGGCATGCACCGTACTGTACAGTACAATGCACGAACTCAGTGGGGGCACAGCCAACATTGTAGAAATAGGTGCAAGGCCTAGGTAGGTAGGTATCTACTGGATTTTGGATTTGCGTGGATCGGAGCGAAGGTCTTCAAACACAAACGAAAAGGTCATGTAGTCGTCGTCGTCGTCGTCGTCGTCGTCGTAGTAGTTAAGTGGCAGCAGCAGTAGTCCGTCCACAGGGCCAAAGAAGCAAGTTGGAGTGTCTGAATGATAAATTGAACCAGGCCAAGTCGATTCCATGGGAGAGGCCCCTAGGGACCAGGTACTGTACCTTTTACTTAACTAGAATCTTAAGAAAAGTACGGAGCAAGGACAAGAATATCCATTACCTGCGGTGTGCAAGTCGCGCTCTTTTTCGGACGGACTAACTACCTAGTAGTCAACGAATGACTCTGTGGGCTTACGTATTAGTATAGCCACCAGCTTCTGACGATCAATATTGATAAGGTACTCTGGACTAAACGGACTAGACTAGTATTGCTGTTATCATCATGATAGTCGGTGTCCGTCCAATCCACTCTCCACTTCCGTCACCCAAGCCCCGGTAGGAGCTCTCTCTGATCAATGAGTATTTCTCATTCATTTGACTTGCCATTTCCTTGCTTGAGCAAGAGGCTCTAGCCTGATGCTTATCAGTCCCAGACTGCGTCGATTTCGATATGAGCTTCAACGATTGTGCGTATAAGAGGGTCACGACCCTGGCTTGTGTACACAGACTCTAGAATGGTCTCCCACCTTCCTTGTTCTCGTCTTGATAAGTAGTCGTCGGCCCCGACTAACTCACTCCACCCAAAACAAGTCAAGGCGTCTGTGGGCACTGCTTCCGTTCTACTTTTCCTTCTCTCTCTCCTCCACCTCTTTGGCTTGTCACTTCCATATCGTTGTTCGCCGCTCTTCGTCCCGACTTGGACGGCCATCAATATTCTATCACGCCTCCTTCACGCTCCTGTCCAGCAATTGCCGTTATAGCGCACTGATATCACCTTGCTGACTAGCACGAGAATCCAAGTTGAAGCGCATACGAGAATAAAATGTCACAACCCGCTTTGTTGGATGACGATGAGGTTGGAGATTCGAGCCACCATTGGCCCACTGCTCATGGCAGGTCAACCTCATCGTCACCATCTGAGACAGATAGCTTCAGCAGCTCTCCGGAAGATGAGGATTTTATGCCCAGGTCAAGGTAAACTTCGGCTCCCGCTTCCTACGGTGGCCAACAACAGCCTCTAAAATGAGCAACCCAGATCGGCCTCCTTCTCCGCGCGTTTTCGGCAAGCCGGCGGAGTCAATAGCATCGACAACTTCGCACGGTCATGGCAGCGAGCCGCATGCTTCCCGGAGGTTCTACCTCGTCGCCCCTCCTTCGTGACAGCTGACGCAGACGAAGAGTGGGATACTATACGATCAAGTCTTCCCAGGTCGTACGATCAGCGCGACCATGAGGTGAGCTCTACACGGCCTTTACTGAGCTCGGACGGGGGTGCGGAAAACCGCAGTACTGCTACACAGGTCTATTCGGGGGTTCCGAGCACGAGTCCAGACAGATGTGAGCCCTTGCTTGGGACATCCTACGGTACAATTTCTTCGCGAATCAGTCAAACAGCGCGAAGGAATGCAGCCCAACTTCACAGGGAACAAAAAAGTCGCGGTGATACCGCAGTGGAACCCGAAGGGGCGTCACTACTTGTCAAGCAAGTCCAACACAACAATGGTACACGCGAATGTGTGGTTGTTGGGCAATCTACTGTCCCGCAAACTATTTTCAATTCCGTAAACGTATTAATCGGCATCGGTCTTCTAAGCCTACCGTTGGCAATGAAACAAGCGGGTTGGCTTATAGGGCTGACGTTCTTACTTTTCGCAGCATTTACCACAGCATATACAGCGAAAATCCTGGCAAAGTGCCTGGATGTTGACCGAAGTCTTGTCACTTACGCTGATCTAGCGTATATCAGTTTTGGGTATCATGCGCGCTTAGTCACGAGCCTGTTGTTCTGCTTGGAGCTCATAGGGGCTTGTGTTGCCCTTGTTGTACTCTTTGCAGATAGCCTGCAAGCTCTAGTGCCAGGTCTCAGCATTCTCCATTGGAAATTTATTTGTGGGCTCATGCTTATCCCTCTAAATTTCTTACCCTTGCGGCTTCTCAGTGTGACAAGTATTCTTGGCATTCTGTCTTGCACATCTAGTACGTCTACTACCTTGATAGGTTTATGACATATCATACTGACCTCACGAGCAGTTGTCTTGATCATATGCATTGATGGGGTGCTGAAAGCAACAGCGCCGGGTTCCCTGCTCCAACCAGCCCGGACTTCACTGCTGCCGGATAAGTGGGCAACCCTTCCTCTCAGCTTTGGCCTGATAATGTGTAAGTCTGGTTTCGAGCATTTAGAACATGCATGGGAGCAACTAATGGTTCATAGCACCGTGGGGCGGCCATGGTGTCTTTCCAAATATCTACCGGGATATGAGACATCCGCAGAAGTACGGCAAGAGTCTAGTGGTGACGTATTCCTTCACGGTAAGCTAACGACAATTAATAAGGGAAGAATATTGAAAGCTCTTCTGGGACTAACAACCGTGTTTCGCTGTAGTATTCCCTCGATTGTGCAATGGCCATTGTGGGCTGGCTTATGTTTGGTGACACGGTCCGGGATGAGATTACTGCCAACATTCTGTTGACAAATGAGTTCCCACGTGCCTTATCTATTTGCATGATAGTATTTATCGCGACGATTCCAATTACTAAGGTACCCTTAAAGTAAGTTGAGCATATCTAGCTTATTCTTCTCGCGCCTCGCAGAAGGGGTTCTTTCGACTGACGCGTTGCAGCTGCCGGCCTCTTGTGGCTACCATCGAGGTTCTTTGTGGACTTGTTCCGCGTCCGGAAGGACAATCAAGCCAGCATGGAGCGATGAAATCTGTGCTGCGCGAGGCTTCGAAAGCCGCGATACGTATAGCGGTGATCGTCCTTATTGTTTGCATGGCAGTTCTCTTCCCGTCATTCGACAGAATTATGGCGCTGATGGGTTCGGCTCTGTGCTTCACAATATGCATTATCCTGCCGCTGGCATTTCACTTGAAGATCTTCGGCAAAGAGATTAGCCCACGAGAGCGACTACTAAACTGGTCTTTGCTAGTCATTTCTTCGATACTAGCGCTCATTGGGACCGCCTGGTCCTTTATACCGCAGGAAACCATTTCTGCATTGTGAGGCTCCGGACACTGAATGCCTCATTCTTCTGCGTTAATGCCTTATGCCACGGATGCGTCATTTGACAATGATGGCGAAATTGTTCCTGACCTTGCCAGGATTCAGCATTTCCTTGGCGAAAGACCTGGGGTTGGAATCACCAGTGTATTCCCAGAGTTGGTAGATGAGTTTATGAGTTTTCTTGCTGTTTGATAGAATAAACCCCATGCTTGACATTATATCGTACAGCCGGGCTTCCGTGAGGTAGCGAGAATTATAAACGCAGGCGGCTGGCAGAACGAGAAACAAGCAAGAGCATGCATCTTGAGAAAAACCAGATGGCGGCGATTTGACCAGAAAAGATGTGCAGCGCTTCAACATTTCACCTCTGACGAGGGCATCCGGTACATAATTGAGGACTAGAGAGAGACTGATAACATGAAATTGGTCGCCCACGTGTTCTGGAAGAGGCCTTTCCATAAAATCTTGCTTCGAAATGCCTGCCTCCTGGGAATTCAGATCGATCCTAGTGACTTCAAGCGATTGGTTCAAGGAACAGGCATTTTTGGTGCTAAGCGCTCCAACTTCGAGCACACGATATTTGTAATGTTTGCCTTCCAGTGGCTGTAGTCGTGGGGCTAGCCAGTCAACCAGAAGTTTGCTGGAATCACCACCGCGAGTGGACGACTGGCCCAGCTTGCTCGCAAGTTGGTAGCTTTCCAAACCACCGTTTTCTTCGATCTGGGCATCAATTTTAGCCACTGAGGCTGCATCGCCGGTCTGCGAAGCCTGCGTTCGTGCTTTGAGTAGTCTGTGATGTGAGCGAATGAGGTTTCGGGTCGCTTTTGACGAGAGGCTTGCGTGGCCTGGCTTGATTGTTGGTGGGCGAGTCCGAGAAAGAAGAGTCGGCCTTTTGAGCCTTTGTCTTTTGGAGTTTATCATGGCGGTAGGGTGCTTCGCTATTTCCGCTCCGAATCCCACAGCAAGATACGAGCGAACGCGATGCCTACGCAGGAGAACTTGACCGCTTAACGCCCTGGCTTAGGTAGAAGCATGATACGTAGAATTAAATCGAGCCGGAGCGAGTCAGCCAGACCTGTAAACTTCGCCACTCGAATCACACGTGATACTAGAGACATAGTTATAACCTGGTTGGCTAAGTCTAGCCTGTTTCAGAGGACGCCAAGATATTTGAGCAGCCTGGAGAGCGGGAAGGTCAGGTGACCCACACAGCATCCGTAGGGTTTTCGCTAAGCGAATACCTTCCAAATAATTCGACTCTCGACACTGCGACAATCACCACGACAGCGCCGGACGACAGCCATGGCCCCTAAGGTGGAAAACAAGCAAGGTAGGTTAATTTCGTGCGACTACCCCATGATGTTTGAGTCTGCAGATTCCTCTATTCCGAATCCCGAATTTGCGCGCATCGAGTGATACATCCCGGTGGAATTTTGTGGAATCGACGTGATTTTCATCCCAGCACAGCAAAGCAGGAGCAACATGGCGAAATTGAACTCAGCGTTGATTTGGCACTCGCGCCACCTGTTTTGACTGTCTCGCGGGCCGGCCGTCGAAATGAGCAATTTTTCTTAGTGAACCACAGCGACTGACATGTGGAATTGTACAGGCAAGACCAAGCCCAGCAGCAAGGCTGGTGCTGCTGCCAAGGCAGTTCTGAAGGGTGCAGGTGTATGTTCCCTTGACACCTGAGCCACCTATGATCTGGTTGATGCTGAACGTTTTCGATTTCCAGGCGCACAAGGCTCGCAAGGTCCGCACCTCGACCACCTTCCACCGCCCCAAGACCCTTCAGCTTTCCCGGTCGCCCAAGTACCCTCGCAAGTCGATCCCCCACGCGCCCCGCCTCGATGCCCACAAGGTCGTTCTCTTCCCCCTCAACACGGAGAGCGCCATGAAGAAGATCGAGGAGAACAACACCCTTGTGTTCATCGTGGACGTCAAGGCCAACAAGCGTCAGATCAAGCTTGCTCTCAAGCAGCTGTACGACGTCGATACCGTCAAGGTCAACACTCTTGTCAGGTATGTGAATCGTTCTGCACTTGAAGAGATGACCGGTGACAAATCTAACTTCTTCAGACCCGACGGCTCCAAGAAGGCTTACGCCCGTCTTACTCCCGACGTCGACGCTCTGGACATTGCTGCCACCAAGCTTGCTATCGTCTAGATGGGTTTGTCTGGGACTGGACGGGTTTTTCTTTTAGTTTTGTGCGGTGGTTCATCAATATCAAATATACAGTTAACTGCCAGTGCTTCGACGAGGATGCAATGATCAAATCAAAAAATGAAAGGCATTACCCGAACCCATGATATAGTAATGAAGTATAGATGACACAGGATGATACCCCGTTATACTCTCCCGCGTCTTAATGGAGAAGCCTTTAAATGTAAAATTCCGGTGGATGTGAACATGAGACGCATGGCGCTTCTCGGGCCCAGGACTAATTCATGGGATTGGTGGAGTACGATATGCGTGTATATAGGTCTACTTGAGGCTTTAAATTCCTTGGTGTGGCCTGGATATTGCAATTTTGGATTTCTGTCAAAGAAAGATCTCGATCCAAGTGAGTGGAGAATTGGGAAAACCAACACAGCAGACCAAGATTGTCTAGATGGAGCGAGCTCGAAAGGCAGTTGTATACATTAGTACACCGAACACGAAGCTTTCATTGTCCTCGCAGGGTTTCGAGGTGCTTCAAGACAGCAAAGTTCGTATCCATCCATCGTTCCACGCAATTCTGCGCACAGGCTTCCTCGGAGTGATCTAGGCGGCCCGACGAGATCTTTCCGGTGATGCACTTTTTCCAACAGATATCGGCCAGGCCATGAACAGCTTGCAGAAGTAATGACAATCAGTCGACATTCTTGAAAAAGCCCGCTCGCTCAGTTCACTATGACTATTCCCTGTTCAACTTACTTTGCTGGATGTTGGATTTCTGTGCCTCGTTTGCGAGGTACTGGGTCAATTCTTTTCTGTCGGCATCATTGAGCTTGGCGATGTCGAGTTGCGTTTGAGTATCCATGGTGGATTTTTTTTCTCTTGGCCAGAGAAACAACAGGATAGGAGGAAAGAGTTGTTGGGAAGAAGATGTGTGCCGGGAAGCTGGTGTCTGACCGGGTGGTTGGGCTCTTTTCTTCCTGATAACCAAAGTCAGCCCGCACAAGCATTTCCTCGGACCTGTCACATGGCGGTGTGAGACGGCAAAAAGGACTACCGTTCCCTATGACCATTCGAGGCATCAATCATCTGTTGGCTTGTCTCTGCAATTTCGCGACAACTCGAACATCATCTACTTATCTTGTCGTACGTAATATATCAATCTCTTACACCTCGCCTCTTTCTGCATCTACGCCGTGCCTCCCAGTATGCCTCCTATTCGCACTTCACGTACCCGCAAGCCACCTCCGGCGGGTTTCGATGATATTGAAGATACCTTACTCGAATTCAGCAACAAGATGAAAGATGCAGAAAATGCATCACACGACGGGAAGAAGAAGCATGAGATGCTGTGGCCTATATTTCAGATAAGTCATCAAAGTGCGCATTCCCCTTGTCCGCTATCCCCACTTACAGCTCCTCGCATTAGTCGGCCTTCAAGACCGCAATCGACATATATCTTCAGTGGCTAAGTGATATGAACCTAGGATCTCGATATATATACGACCTGTATTATGAGAAGGAAGCAATATCGAAACAACTCTACGAGTGGCTCCTCAAGAATAACTATGCCGATTCAAACTTGATTGCCAAGTGGAAAAAGCAAGGCTACGAAAAGGTCTTTTCCTAACATTTCCTATTACCTTCGATGCGGCCTGCATCGCAATAACATGTTCACATTGCTGACTTGGTATGGTTAAGCTCTGTTGCCTCCGCTGCATACAGACAAAAGAAACGAATTTCAATGCAACCTGCATTTGTCGGGTACCGAAAGCGCAACTAAAGGAAGACCAAACGATTCAATGTGTAAGCTGTGGCTGTCGAGGCTGTGCAAGCAGTGACTAGACTTTATGGCAGCGGGGCAAATGTCGGACAACAATCTTCGCGCGCGCGGCTCCGAACCACTTATTTAAAGCGGTAACAATCTGACAAGACGGGCCTCATATACGGCGTTTGGGCGGGTATAATATGTTGCCTGTCTTTAGAGATGTAGTCTTTCCTCTTTTCCTGTCTAATCTGCCTGGACCTGAAGGAAGTCATCGATGCTGTATTTTGGCATTGTTTCCTTGTTTGGTTGGCTCTGCTACGACCGTTATGATACCCAAATCCAAGACGTTCAAGAATTTCAATAGATTAGGATAATTATTATGACTGTTAACTGGGAACCACAGACTGACTTGTGTTGTTTACATACAAAATCAGAATCATGCCCTCAGAGTTCGTGAAACAAAATGTTGCTCATGTACATCTGATCAGATGTCATCGTAAAGGTCATAAGAAGGTCATCTCAGCCGCAATGATTATCCCCTTTGTCCGAAGAACGCCAGAAACACCGATTTAATCATGGATAGATAAATCAACAGAATCAGAACAATAAAGGAGGGAGACTTTGGTTCCTAGTCCGCGTAATATATCATCATCCGTAGGATGACAATATCTCAGCCAAAGTGGTTAGATGGCGCGCATCGTTGGAATAGTGACATACAACGCAATTTGGCATAGTTGGAGCCTATTGCACTTTTTTTTTAAAACTCGGCGACTCTCCAATATAAGCCTATCTTGTGCAAGATCAAAACAAGGACGTGTTGCTGCGATGATTAAACCGCGGCCTCGGTGCATATGATTTTAGACGCGAAGTCTCTTCCTTGCTTGCATCCCCAATTTTTTGAAATCCCTGCAAGAGGTCGACGCCATCAACCTCTCCTGGACTCTCATCGAAAAGATGGAATGCGAAGAAATCATCATGAGTGGCGTCGATGTAGCGCCCTGATTCCGGGGCTTTGGACGGGGAGTCAGGGAAGAGAAGACTTTTTTTGTTGGAGGGAATCGACGGCACACCAGTGCGAGTGTTAACACTCACCGCTGTAATATCAGCCAGTATACTACTGCTGGATCCGCCAGGATTAACTCGGGTACGCTTCGCTGAGCGTTTCTCAGGAGACCCATATGCCGCATTCGATAAGTTGTTTGTAGCAGGATCTGCAAAAACATCGAAGCTCGTATTTGGACTGTCACTTGGTGTAAAGCTCTCGTCTTGAATGTTGAAGGCAGGACTCCATGGAAGGTCCTCATCCGTCAGTCCCAGATGTTTGATGGGAGAATTCACCATCTGCTGAATTTTCTTTCGATGGTTACGAAGGTTAGTGTTCGGCGACACGGACGGCGGCGGTTTTGCTGGTTTCTTGAACTTGATTAAGGGCGTAATTGGAGGAGGTAGCATGCTGACATATTCACCGCGCAGTGGAGAGGAATTCACGATGACCCCTGGCTCTTTCATCGATGCGCAATGACTGGGGCTTACGTCATGTGACGAGCTTCGAATGCGGGCAATCTCTTCTTCTGCGCGACCGCGTTTGATGCGAGGGGGATCGATTTCCAAATCCGAGGTCAGGATATGCCCGGCCTTGTTTGGTCGCATGGCAGAAGATTCCAAGGACGAGAAATAACCGCTATCATTCGTAGCATGCGATTTGCGCTTGCTGTTGATGTGAACAATGCTGGAAGATGTATTGTGAAGGGAAGGAGTTGGAGGGGTTCCTTGGCGGGAGTAGCGAGGTGCTATAACAGGAGGTGACGAGTGGATTGGTTGGGGAGAAGAAGAACGAGGAGCTGGAGGCTGCAAGACATTGCAATTCACACTTTCGTCGCCTGTATCATCTTGGAGAGCGGGGTCAGAAGCAGGAAGCGTTGCGTCAGATGACAGATCCACAGTCTTCGAGGGTTTCGCTGTTGTAGTAAATGTCGGTGGAGGAACAGCCCATGTGGTTGTACTTGAGCTCTGGGTGGAAGCCGGATCCCTAAAAGGAGCTGCCGGGAGCGGGAGACTTGACATTGTCGCTCGGCGCAGGGGCTTGTCTTTGAGAAATTGCGCCTCCATGCCAGGCTCTATAGCCCAATAATTGCCTTTGCCTGGATCATCTTTCGGTCGCTCCTGTTTAATGAATGCTTTGTTGAGGCTGAGATTGTGGCGAATGCTGTTCTGCCATCCAGGATCACTATTCTTGTAGTATGAGAAAGCGTCAGATATCCACTTGTATATTTGTGCAAGGGTCAGCTTCCTGTTAGGAGCACGTAAAATAGACATTCCAATCAGGGTTGCATAGCTGTACGGTGGTTTTGTGCCGTCATCTTCGATCAGTGGCATCTCGTATGGTTCTGGGAGTCGCATCGCAGTAATGTCTTCACGCTTCATTTTTTTGGCTGCCCGTTCCTTAAGTGGGGCGGCGTCTAAAAGTGTTCTTTTCATAGGATGCTTGGATATTAAAGTAGGCTCAGGGAAGTCAGCAAAACTGTCACTGGGAGTATCATCTAATATATGAGTTTCCTTATGTGACCGTTTACCAGTGTTGACTGATGGGAAGGTTGTGAAAAGGGCAGATTGCGGCATCGATGAAGTAGCAGTTATCAGACTGAACGCTGGAACAGATGGTCGCTTTGTGGGTGAATCGGTCGTGAAGGCTGGCGGAGGGGGAGCTGTGATCGGGACAAATCCCAACTTCCCTCGGCCTGAGATTGAAGCAGCTGATCCTCGATACGCTTTCATTGGTGACAATCTTCGTGAGCCAGGAGGAATCGGACACAGTTCACGAACTTGAGTTGGGGTAACATTCTCAACAGGCTGCAATGGTAGAGGCGATGGCTCCAGGTGAGGATGTGGCTTGGACACGACCCTGCCATGAAGGGGTGGTGAGGGCCCCGAAACAGTCGACGCTGAGTGTGTTGAGCTCATATTTGCGGCCAGCGCGACTTTTTATGGAGAATGAATGGGAGCTTGATGAGCACCAAAAACGTCGCGGTCTCTGAGAATATATTAATGGTGACGGACTTGAATCAGAGACGTTGGGCTTCGATAGGGCACCGATAACGGAAGCAATTAACGTTCAAGTTGTATCGCGACCAAATGAAGCCTAGAAGACAAGGGCGTCGCCCATACGCCTTGAAGAAGGATGAGAAGATCCGTGCTAAGAGACTTAACAGTCAGGCCACCTCATGGAGTAGAGGTGGCATATGGCGATAATCAAGCACAAATCAGGTGCAGCGAGAAGGGTAAACGCGATTGTGACTGATATTTTGGCTTCACAATAGCCTCAAGTAATAAAATATGCCTTTTCACTTGTTGTTCTACTTGGTGAATGATCCAGATGCTGCAAGGATGAGAGCGACGCGGAGGATACTTAATTCGTAGGTTCGAAGATATTGCAAGGTGACGAAGACTAGGTCGGTAGGAAATCGAAAAAGAGGAGGTACCCGGAAAAGCGGCTCTCACCTCTAAGTTCAAGATGCCTTTGCCTGGTAAGGTAGGTCCCTCCAGGCAAGGTGGGGTGGGGTGGGGGGGGAGAGAAAGTGGAATATGCGCGAGATATTTGGAGAATAGCAATTCTTAGCAGATTGAAGAATGAAAGGGAAGAAGGACAAGCATGACTCCAAACCTGTTGATAGGGAGTCTGCGCGTCCTGTCAGGTAGTATGGTATGGTTTTGACGCGTGATCAAGACGCGTCTCTTCCAGCGGAGAACATGTTCATAACCCGGATCCAGCGCTCCAGTATTGTCACACATGACGATACACATTGAATTTGGCTCTCTAGACATGTACGGATTGGACATACTGATTGGTCTCCTTGCTCCATTGCCGCCAGAAGGGAGCAAGCTCTCCTCCAATCACTTGCTGTGCAATCGGCAGATCGTGACGGGGTGGGCCACCCGCTTGCACTTAAGTTCAATCGATTAGATCATTAGAGTAATATACCTTAGACCACTGCCAGTGAACTTGAATTGAGGTTTTAAGCTATAGTTACGGAGTACGGAGTACGGAGTACTCATATTACTTATTACATACCTACTAGCACTGTGCCCTGCTACATCTT